ATTAGGCAAGCTAAGTCGATTATTATGCATCGAATTTAGGAATTTAGTTGTTAAATGCGTACTATAATTTGTTTATTTTTAATCTATTATTTATTCTTATAAAAGATCAAATATGGACATTGGATGTGCATTGTTGGACACCCAAATAATATCTAAAAATACAAAGATATAATAAATTTAGAGTCGAGTAGCCCACTTATCTGCATACAAATAGGGCAAAAGCATTTTTTTCCCCACAAATATAATGATCAGTTTTAATTTTGGCTGAAAGTGATTGTAGATTTAATATAAATTAATAGGTTATATAAAACACACAATTCATTGGATATTTCTATTGTTTCATAGTTGACAGGCACTAATTATTTTTCGTCAACTTTTAGCACTTAACAATGTTAAATTTAATTTTTAATTTATAAATCAAATACTTTGGTTCTACAATTTTTTATTTTGAAAACAAAACATATTATCCCGTCTACATTCTAACAGCTTTAGATAGGTTTATTGTCACTAAACGTTTTTGCTATTGTGTTAGTAGCTTTCTATTCACACCCATTACTGTAGTTAAGTGTTACTATATTTAAAAAAAATGATTTAGGTATATTGCGCATTAAAATTAGGATTGCGAAATTTCCAAAAATATATGCTGAGATATTCCTGAAAGCCATATTAGGTAGGCTCACAGTCATCCCGCTCCATAACCCCGTACTTCTTTCCACGATCATATTATAGTTTCTATAGTCTGACTGAGAGTTCTGCAGTATCTGCACCTTTTTATTAAAAAAAAAAAAGCAATTTAGTTTTTATTTGACCCATTTGTTAACAGTTACCTCGCACCTGACCTTAATCACAGTATAATTTGTTGTAGCAAATGTATGAAGAAATTTAAACGTTTCGACATGACTCGATGAGTATAAAATTATTTTTAAAATATTTTTGTAATTTTAACGCCCTTGAATAAACAAAATGCTTGAGTAAGTGTAAGAGTCACCCCTGTAGTTGTGGCCATGAATCGATCCAAATGACCAAATCCTTCACTGGTCCAACTTTAATATCTCATCTATGTTATAATCGCCACCCAGTCGACTACTGTATAATTAAATTGATTATATTATAATAGGCAGTCCACGTATTCTCCGTTTTGTAAACAAAAATATAATTTTGTACTGATAACAAAACGTATAATTATGAATTAGTGACCAATTGAAAGATAATAGTAGCCTGGTTAATTATAGTAAGTTTTTCTTCGGACCAGCGAATGACGTCAAAAACACAAGCTATACGCTTATCGAGGTCACTGAAAATGCAGAATAAATCGGTGGACACGCACATTTTTTGATTTTTGAAATCTCATACACAATATTCTAGTATATTATGTGACCACGGCAGCTATATTGACTGATGCAATTCGGATTTTTTCTGTCGGACGAAACGTCTACTTATTATATATAAAAATACAAAAAAACCGCACTCGTGCCATTGCGTTGAATACCTAACTCGGTTGCCCTCGGCTGATCGTCGTGTGTTACAATAATAACAATAATTACCTACTGCTGAGGTGGACGTGTCGTCACCGCGACGGTTGGCCGACAACTGACTGCGAATCGGTAACGTTCGTGCACTGCCGTTGCCATTTCGGGTGTTCGTCTGCAACTCGCATTGTTATCGTCAATGACCCGGTCGTGTGGTAACGGGACGAGTTCAAAACGTGATGCTCATGATTGTCCGGCTGAAAGGGGTTAATGTAATAGTATGCCGCATGTAAAAATAAATTGCAACTAAGTATACAAAAAAAGTATTACACCAGCAACTTTTGTCTGTTGGCCAGTAAAAAAAAAAAAAAAAATTCACGCATACATCGTGAACATAATATTATATATTGTATTCTGTGCATTGCATTCGCAAAATCACGATGAACAATATATAATTAGTATTGTTGTTTGCCGTTGACTAATACGACTGTTTTTATTGTGGTTGTAACTTATGGGCGCGCGGTGGAGTTTTCAAAAAAAATGTTTTAAAACCCTTACCTACAACAATGTAAAATAAGTAACTAAAATTCATAATATAACACAATTCTCAGCTGCTGGCTGGCATCAGTTGTGTATATTTTATATCTGTATTCTATAATTACTGGCATCGCATTATGATTAAATTTTGGCTGTCGATAGTAACGATTTATGTAATAATAATGTAAAGTAGATCATAGTAGGCCTATTTTTATAATTGCTGTGATTATACGCGATTGTGCAATAATCTCGTTTAACGAGGAAAAGATTCGTTGGCGATCAAGCATAATAATATCGCATGTACGATAATAATATTCTAGCTTCAGTAGACTTTATATTTAAATATCAACGTGGTATTATTACATTAATCAATGGTCTTGGCGGAAACGTCCATAAAAACAAAATATTGTAAATTTCCGTTAGTTGTAAGTTGGCATTACAATTATTATTAAAAATCGCGAACCTATGAAGCTTGTTTGATTGGTAAAATGTATATTGAATATAATTTATTGTATTCATGGATACACAACATCCGCAAAAGTTTTTTTCTTTAACAGACACTTGTTTGTCGCGTTCACATCGGCGAGAAGCCATACAAATGTATGAAGATATACGTAAAAAATAATTTAAAAAAAATCTTATTTCAAGTCGCATCAAGCAAAAGAAAATATTGAAATGACAATACAGACATATGTATGCAGGTCTATAGTCTCACGGTAATATGGACTTAGCAGTTGATTTGAAAAGTAAACATTAAACTAAACACCTTCATTAACCATCATCATCCAACTTTCATTTACCATACTGTATACATGGTAAACTATTTTTTCATAACTCACAAACCCTTTAATACGTTCAGTAAATTAGTATTGAGTAACAAATAATAACATGACTTTTGTCATTAATGTTTTATAATTAGGAATACACCCTGTACTTTTAAATACCTTTAAATTAACCAAAAAATGTGAATATTCACACAGAAATCTGTGAATAAATAAAAATACCTTCTCGCTTTGCATCGAAGCTAAAATTACATTAAGATCTGTGAATACAAATGTATTCACAAAGAAATTGTTACTACAAAAAAAAATCACAAAATAAGTTGGGAATTTACAATTTTTCCTGTGAATTTATTTGTATTTACAGGAAAATGTGTGAATACAATCGTATTAGTATTCACGCATGTGAATACAAATAACTAATAAGTGTATTATGAATAAATTCGTATTCGTATTTATAAATAATTTATTGTAAGATATTGATAAAATAAACATTTTAGGAAAACTAATAGACAGAGATTTTTTTTTAAAGGCAGCGATAAAACTGAATTAAAAAGAACCGTAACCGTTTATAAAAAAACTTGTCCTTAACATAATTAAACTATATTTTTAGTATAGTACTACTTATATTATTATTAGAGAGAAACAACTTTTATTCAGAGTGAGCTGCACACCGTGTAGGTTGCCAAAAGACATAGCATACTATTTTCAATACACAAATACGTAATACAATTTTTAATTTTTAATTTACGTACCTGGTGTCGCGACCTACTAAATTAAAATATGTATATACCTTTACTTCCCCTTGATTTTGTATTCAATCTCATTATCTCACAATAGCACATTTAAAATAAACTCCTGCCCTTAAGTGCCTCCAATTGGTGGCTTCTTCTCTTCTGCCTCAAGCCATGTCTCCTCCATCACATACACTTATTGTAAAAAATAATAATTACAGATCGTGTATTTTAAAAATAAATGTTAAAAAAAAAAAAAAATTTTTAATTTAACAAACAAATAAAATATTTAAATAAAATTCACAGACAATATAACACAGAAAAATTAACACTTATTATTATGAACATAAAAAATAATTTGTTGTAGTTATTATTATAACTACTATTATATAGTATTTATAAAATGAACAGGTGATAAATTGGAGTATTTATAAAAATATCAGAACTAACATCGATTAGAACCCAGCTTTAACATTTTTCATAACCAAAACGAACCCGAAATAGGACTTAATAATATTGTATGTTTACAAACCAAAAAGGATCCAAACCCGAATTAACCTAAAGGTCTAACCCCAGCAGTGATGGGAGTTTAACTTCGGACGCGAAATAACCAAAAAAGAAATAGTTTTCAACACTATTTTGCCCTCCCACCCTGCTGGTTTACCTTGGGGTCTCCGGGAGCTATAAAAATAAATTTAAATATAAATTCCAGAGTATTCTGAAGAATAATATTGTGTGCTCATAATTTTCGAGCCTAACCGTTTTTTCTCAACACATAAAAATGATCGCCGTGAGGGAATGTACATATTGTATTCTAACCGGCCGATCCTTTTTATTGTTATTATTATTATTTGGTATATATTTTATGCTCGTGTCGATCTTTTTTACGATATTATGTATTATGTAGAAACAGAAAAAAAACGCAGAATATATATTATAATTACCACGTTTAAATAAATAAAATAATATATATATATATTATAATACAGTCGTTAAACTGGCGGTTGTTTATTGCGAGGAACGGGGTCTTTTTTTTTACTACTTAGGCGATGCACGTGTGCCCCGAACATCATTAATTGGTGAGTGTACATTATTTTCTTACCGATTGATGCTCATAATAATAATAATATGTAAACGAGCGTTGGTAATACGAAAGAAATGAAGGAAAAAAAACTTGGATGACGACATTGTTGTGTATAGCGTTTGGTATAGTCGACGACCGAAGCTGTGTATATAAATCACTTTCCATCTGTGTTTTGTGTGTGTATATAACACACGGAGCGTTACGTCAGACAAGCGGTTCTAGGTCAGCGGCCAGGTGAAATGGTATCTCAAGTTCACGACTCCAAGTGGAAGAACATACGGCCGAGGAGACAAAAACCTCGTGTTCCGGGCACCGGCAATATCGTGCATCCAAAATGATGTAAGAGAGGCGGTCGGTCATAATATAAGGTGCACACGACGGGGGAAACGTATAAAAAGCACAAGACGATGCTGTGCGGACACTAAGACACTCGTACGCCTTTCTCCGAACACCATCTACGAAGTCGTTTCTAGATTATTTTTTTAAACACTCGAACAAAACACCATGGCCGCCCGTACCGCCCAACACAACCTGGTAAGTACAACAGCAGCCGGTCATTCCTTAACCCGAGCTTAACGGTCTATCTATATTATCCCGCTGGTTGGGGATGTTCCTAATGTATTTTATTACAACAGGTCCATTTGACAGCCGTGCTGTGTTGCACAATAGCTACGACAATGGCGTTGCCACCCTCTTATCCGGGCGACCTCTACGAACACCACGCACCGGCCACGTCGTACGCCACGATATCCACCACCCACGTCAAAGTTCAACACCCACCGGCGGCGCCTGCCAAGTACGAAAGCCCCTACAAAGTGAGTACCCGTCAGTCTAAGTATATTAAGTGTACACGTTTGTTTGAAACGTGTACACATGGCTTTAGAAAACGTCTAAAATCATTTATCCAGTCTCAAAAATAGCAAATAAATACAATTTTACTCTATCCTACCCACCAACGGTAGATTTATGAACAGAACACATAGGCAGTCGTCAAAGACGGAATGTATATAATATGTAAAAATATGCATTTGTCTGTAAATCTGTTGAAATTGTATTCCCTTTATTTTCTGTGACTTATTGGCCTGCTAATTATAATACTTTCAATTGGCAATTATTTATTTTTAAACAATTACAACGCAGCCTAATATCCTTAACTTTTAACGGAATTTCGAACAAGTGGCTAGATGCAAAATCAGATTCTACGAGCAAAGCTGTACTAACCTTAAAATCGTCATTTTTGGACTAGGTTATTGGTTAGTGGATACCAACGATTACGGTTACCTGCTCAGAGGTGGGTATACTTATCACTTTTCTTAGCGTCGATACAATTATAAACAATTATTAATTGTCATGGTACGAATATAATTTAACCAAATCGTTCATTACAATTTTATCAGTAATTTAAAATGTTGTAGTATGCATTTGTTATGTATTGGGTGTACATTTTGTAAGATTGTCAAACGCCTCATGTATATTCATTTAATTTTCATGTCTTACCCTTGCTCAAATAATTCCCTTTGAATTAATTATTAATTAAAAATGTATGAATCTGATACGCCGTAAATAACTTTTAGACGCATTAAACAAGTTTTACATATTATACATTTTATTGCAAAACAGTAATACTCAAAACGATATTATTTGTTAATATATACTAATTTCTGAACGTATTTAAGTCTTTTGTGGATCAACTGCAAAGTCTGTAAAACTGAACACCTGCCTACACAAATCTGTAAATATATAAAATAGTGAGCTATGTAATATATTATAATAAACACAATTTACTTATTATCGTTTACAGACATGATTTACAGGTTTGCGATTTAAACTAAGTGATTTTTATAGTTATTTAATTACAAAATATATATATATATTTTTTCGAAAATTGATCAAAACCAATTATGAAATAAACGCACATAGAAAAAGGTTTTGCCAACAATTAATATTGAATGGCCGAAAAGTTGTTTTGCTACAAAAAGTACTTTTGTATTTATTTTATTATCGATTTTCTAAAAATATGCCCACCCCCTCTTCACCTCAAAACCTCCCCCGAGTCGAAATGTATAATAAAAAAAGCGTGCAACAGATAAGCTTCTAGGAAGTAGTACTGAGGCCGCCGCCTTTCTCCTCCGCCGCCGTCGACGACTCATGACGTTGCATAAGTTTGCCATGCGAGTCTTAACTCTTAAGTCATTAATATGGTTTTACTTTCCATAAGTTTTGCGCGCCTTCCGACGCACGTATGTAATTGTTTGAATCCGGTTCGATAATAATCGCACGGCAAATTCCGTTTTCATTGTCCCGAAGTGATTTTTAAACATTATTCATATACCTACTTTTTTTATTTCATTATATTTTTAACGACCGCGCTCGAAAAAAAAACCCGTTTACATTATCCACTATAATTAAAATGGGTTATGTAAAATATTTATACTATTATTATTCATAAATCCGACTTACTATTATTGTTGTTATGCGATTGAATGTGTAACGTTTTAAAAAACATATATATAGTAGGTCACTATATGCACCGCCTACCTGAGCGCGAGGTCCGGTTAAATAACTTTAATAATATAATACCGACAGATAGATACCACTTATCGGCGATAGTTATTTCACTTTGCTTTTTATCGTAAGCACTCAGTGTTTGTTTTATTATTTGAAACACGTTTAAATTATTTTGGCATCGCCCAATGTGCTACTGTAGAAGTGTGTTTTATATAATTGTATATGCATGTGATGATATAAATCTGTGAATGATATTTTTTATATATTCTACAGAATGTAATATCTATATGTATACCTATCATAGAATGCTACCGCAATCGCATACTTGTTAAACATATTATTATACTTGACAGTCGTCATGTCGCTTTCTCAATTCTAACTATAACATAAATTACTATTAGGCGTAAAATATAATAAAATTCATTAAAATGTTATTTTATATATTTCAACCTCGTCGTGAGCTTTGAATCCTAAACGGCCAATTCCATAATATTATGTATTTTAACTTATTGCAAATCACTATTTAAATCATCACTTCATATAAGAAAGCACACGGGGTTTAAATTTGTTCTATTAACAAGCATAACTTTTTGAATAACAAGCTTTACTAGGGGTAAAGTTATTTTTGGATATATATATATATATATATATATAGCAATCATGTCGTTGTTGGAATATCATCTTTACAGAGTAGTTATAACCAAGAACACTTCCTTGCTGATAATATACTCTTCCAGTTAGACGTTAGTTATCGTTTCTTCGTACCTAACGCGAAACTGTCTTCAGTCATACAGGTTTTCAGAAGTGCGTACCACGTGTGCTAGGACTGCTCATGTAGTTTCAATAATAGACCTTTGTATCAATTTTTTTTTAAACGCTTAGGCCACATCAAGGAATGCTCCACAGCAATACTTTCTCTACCAATGTCTTACTGATCACGTTCGTTACACGATGAACTTGGTCGAATGTTTGTTACGAAATCCAAACTGGTCATCTGGTATGAACTGTTATACTTCACTAAGCTGTTTTAGACGCTCAAGAAGAATAGTTTTTTCGGATGGATGGTATGTGAACACCAGGTATTTTTAATCGTCTTGTGGTTTTTCATAACATTAACGTAACTTCTTTTATGTTTTTCTTTTAAATTCATAGACTGAAATTTATTAAAAAACAATTTGTTTTACCGCAAATATCTATAAAATATATTACAAATTATATACCACACCTTCAGGTTTATCTATATTGACATTTCACGCCTTTAGAAAGTCTGAAGCTACGCCCTTTGTTTCTATAGCTTGTGTACATTAGTGAATGTATTTTAACAGTTGGCGCATAGGGTCATAAGTTTTCATGTTAAACAATCTTTAAATGCCGTAAATTGGTTTGATGTTGAACTACGATTTAATATAAGAACCGATAAGTAGAATGAACAATTTTCATTTTTGAATTCTAGTAGAATTTATATTTTTAGAAATAAACTATTTTATTAGAATTATTTTAACAGTTAATAGAATTGATTAAACACAGTGTTGTTAAACACAGTTATGTAGAAACTTTTCCCCAGTTTTTTTTTTAGTCCTACTATAACTTTTATAAAAAGTGTTGCTTAATTAATATTAATCATGGAAACATCTTTAAAGTTCTCATTACGCTTATGTGTGCTCAGAAATAGCAAATAAACATAGTTTGGTTTCTGATATGTAACTGATATTTTTTTTCTTATTAATTTCATCAGCTCCTAAAATTCTTTTAACCTACTATCTACCTGATGCAGAATTTATAGTCACTATGTTAGTATTAGTAAACATGTGAATACATCTTAAGTATACCTATAGCTATAGATAAAATTGTACACATCAAATGTTTTAAGGTTGGGCGAGTCAATAAAATTAATTTAACCCTATAATATATATACATTGTACAGTATAAACTCAATACTAATAATTAAAATACTAACTTATTACATTTCAACGATTAATTTAATCAATGACATTGATTGAATGTTTTTTCTTAAATTAAAATATCACCTTATGTATTAACAATACAACTTCAATCGTAACCATTAATCAATAACGTGTTTACAGTTTTCTCCACACTGACTTCGCTAGTCAGTAGGTACAAAAATAATTGTTATTGTATTTGCCACTAACTAATTGTGATCGGTGACGCATGTTTTCAACCTCACAGAGTGAAATTAAAGAACCAGTTAATGTTTATACAATAATGTGTATTGATATTTAGATGTACACTGTAACGCTCTTGTGAGCGCCACCGGATTATTCGTATTAAACATTAACGATTAGTTTAAATAATGTGTCATATAATTGTCAGTGTGATTATATTTTTCGTAACAACACTGATTTTGATAAAGAACTAAATTAATTTAGCCATCAATAATCAGAAGTCTGTAATCAAGTGTCTATCGCCCTGACATTGAAAACCATCTTATAATTTAGTTGTTAGCAACCGATTATTCGTGGTTAAATTTTAAGGATTGATTCAATCAAAACATTTTTCAATTTATATGATTTTTCTCATAAACTATAAAATATTATGTATATTTTATTATATTTATAGATTACAGGGTGATTTTTGTCAGCATGGGCCACTCAATATCTCACTGGGTTTAATTAATAATTAATATTTTTTTCATAGTGTTTTTATATAATTTGATCTTAATTTTCCACAAATTTTTATTAATAAAAAAACCATCCTGTATAATATATTAGATGGTAATGAAAATGTTTTTGTCGGTTATAATTACATTTTACCCCAACGCTGATTTTTATGCGATTTCCATTATGATAACTTATCAACGTTTGCTTGGATTTCACAGTACGAATACTTGACCAAGCCGCTGCAGCCCGAGTACAAGTACATATCACTGCCGGCGTCGGCGTATTCCGGTAAGTTCGAAGAGACCAACGCGACGCCCAACTACAAATACTTGGCCGCTTCGCCCACGTACAAGTACGTGCAACCGCCGGCGGTGAGCAGCGAACCGGAAGACGAAGAAGAAGACCAAGCGACGGCGCTGAAGTACGCGTACAAGTACGAGAACTTGTACAAAGATCAATTGCCAAAGGCCTACGAACAGCCGGCCGTCCAGTACAAGTACATCGCAGTGCCATCGTATAAGTACGTGTCTGAGCCTAAGTACGACTACAGCAACGACGACAAACAACAGTACTGATGAGAAGTTCGTGCAGCAAGTCCAAACCGGACCCTGATAACACCGGCAAGCTCCCGTTATCTTCCTGGGATTGTATAGAAAGCCAATAGTTGATTCCAAAGAGACAACAAGAACTTCCCATTATCTTATCAACTTCTCGATGCTGTTAGTGGAGGACTCGCCAACCAACTCACTTTTGCCACACCTCCTTGTCGCCACTCTTACAATATATTATCAATACCTATTATTTATGTTAGTTTTTGTTAGTTGTGTTAAGTTAGAGTTAGCTTTGCGTGTTAATGTCACGTATTTGCTTCTTTTTTTTTTAGTTTTCGATTACCTAAATATTTTATTATTATTATTATTATAAATATAGTTTTATAATGCTCTTGTTAATTATGTAGTCCAGCATTAATTTGTATGCAAACTCGACGTTTGTGAGGCTTTTCACTTCCTCGTCCTAGCTTTAACGCCGGCCAAGTTAAGACCCAAATGAATCATTAAACGAGTCAAAGTTTAACGAAATTGTCAGTCTACACAACACAAAACAAACCCATAAACAATAACAGAATTAATTTTAACTAAATCTTTCACTTTCTAACAACATAAATTAAAAAATCTTTGCATAACAATTTATCGAATAATAATAATTTAATGCAGTTTCATAACTATGTTATATGATTTTTTTTACATATATTAATCGTTGAAAGTTTTTTGATAGATAAATTTAAAAAAGTATATTTTTTAATTTGAAAAAACTTTATCACACAGTACTATAGGCCTAATAAGATCTTATATAACCTTATTAGGTCAGTATGCACAGTAAACGATCATACCAAAATGCGTGCCTCCTGTTTTTTTTTTAATCGACATTCTTAGTAAAATTACGCAGAAAAGATTAAGGAAGTTGTTTCTAAATTTTGCATTACAACACTAATACTACTTAATGAGATATTTCATACTGAATTTTTAAATAGCTAATTTTATTGTTTTAAAATAAAATCATATGCATTGTCTTTCATTGTATTCGCAAAAGTATAAAATTTTATAACTAAATACCTGTTATTTTGAGTATTTTTTTAAAAAAAATGTTTGTTAATTCCCAAATTTATCGTCACTTCACACTAAACCTTCATTATATTTATGTGCATATTTTATAAACATTGTTAACTCTGACGGCTAAGTTTGGAAACACTTAGATTTTTATCAACCTTGGTCACGGTTAAGTACTCCTTAGCATAATAACATTATGTCTGAGTCTAAGTACTCGACCATCATCAGTCATCTAACATCGGTCGGCCTATACGGTTATCATTAAATTCAAGGAATACTGTGCTATGGTGTATACCAAATACCAATAAATGATTTTCTTTGATAAAGAAACACCGTAAGTACATATTTTATAGATTTTTTTTTAAAAATAGTGGAATTATTTTAAAATTAAAATCACTAGGCACTGTACAATAAAACTATTCTTACTTTCGGTAGTCTCATATTTTTACAAACCAATTGTATTTGTCATTAGCAAACAACACTATTAATGACCATATTGGTCATTAAGCTATCGTATTAAATTAAATAAAACCTTTTAAATTCAATTTTTCTTCTATCAGTTAAGGACAGGTTTTTTTTAGGCTGTGTCAATAAATTCTTGTGAAGATACTTAAATAATTATAAAAAAATGGGGCCTAAATAAAAAAATAATGTTGAGAGAAAACTTAGATCCTGCTAAATAAATTATCTTAGTAATTCAAATAAATATTAAATATATCTGTTGTTTTGCTAAAAAAAACATCCTACGGGATGAAACAAATTTATGTAAGCCTCAAATATCTCGGACACACTTTTACTTGAAACGATTTTATATAAATATGTAATACGTATACATATAACAGTATTGTTAAAAGTATCTAAATGTTATTTCTCGTGACCTTCCATTGTCGAGTGACCCTTATTAGGCACTCCCCAAGGTCACAATACGTATTTTTTAAATACTCTTTGTTGTTTATAATTTTAAGTTATTGTGTGAAATTTTTTTTTAAAATCCAAATTGTATACTAAACCTAATGTATGAATTTTCATATAAAAGTTTTCTCCGGTTATTTTTAAATTTTGAAATAATGGTTTATTAAATTCATACGATATTGTGAAACTAGTTCTGTAAAAGACGTGTTAGCGAGTCTAAGTAAAAGCGTTTTGAACCGAGAAAAAATATATTCTACCGCGCCAATACTAGATCTACATAATAGATCTACATTTCATAAACAGTCCAACTGGAGTCTTGTTTTATGAATAATTTATGAAGGTATTGTTTGACATATTGTACATGATAAAGCAAATGCAATAAATACATAACGATATCTGATTATTAACATACGATACAATTCCGTGTATGTTTTATTTAAATTAACAAAGGTTCAACGCACAACTTGATAGGTACCTTATATGTATATTGTTATAAAGTGTTGGCTATAATATTATAAGTTAATAATAATAATTTGATTTAATTAATATATACATTTGATACATCATGAACAGTTATTTTTATTCGGCTATTATTATTTATGTGAATATAATTGGTTATAATAAAAAAAACGATTAATGTGTATGACCTCAATTATAAAGTATATTATTTTAATGCCCAGCAAAAATCTCGATATAAAAATCAAAGTACATGTATCATTCAGTCTATGTTGTTGTCGTTTAACTTATTACACAGACTGTTGTAGTTAATTCATTAGTTTAAACTATGAACACATTTTTGTAAAAAAAAATGTATTTAACGTTTTATCGATGAACCGAAAAATATTTTTACGATATTACCGAATATAGCGGTTCAATGGTTTTCCTTTTTAAACTTTTTATGATAAGCATGCCAATAAACTTTTGTATGGATTATAAATGATAAAATATAAGGTTAAAGGTTGTTGTCGACACTTATTAATGGGTTCAAACTCTTATGGTATGAACTGCAAGCCGCCTTGCTAATAATTATTATTGCCCGACGACTGTTAATTATTAAGAAGAAAAAACAATCAATTTGGTCTCATAAATCATTTGAAATGATAATTATCTTTATTGTAAGTTTTTATGCAAATCGTTTACAACAGATGATAAGCGTCCACTAAACAATGTCCACTGTAAATATACACACTACTATGAGGTATGGCTCAGAGTGGGGAGTGTGTTTATTCCCCACTTAACCGTTTGATAAGTAAAGCTTCACTATTTTATCTCTATACCTGTACAACGTTTTAGTGTGCCGTTAACATGCCGGTAGCTCATGTTATTGGAGAATATGTAAATTCATAAAAATATGTACCAAAAAAATTATTATTTGTTACCGGCTTCTTCTTAATACCGGTGTTAACATAACTAAATCACACTAATTACAGGTGAGCATTAATGTAGCATCGGATAGATGAACCTGTGTTATTTGCAACAAGTTGGTATACACCGCGATAGCTTGGAAAAGTTCATGAGCTCGACGTTTAAGGACAAGGACATTTTCAAACCTTGAAAGCACAAAAGTTTAATGGATGAATACAGTAATGTCAATGTTTTCTATGCGGCCACGTTCAGAAAAGTTGGTTTAGTTTTTAATAAAGGTGTTTATTTGTTATTTAGAATTCCAAGAATCCGTGGAGCGGAAAGGAATTAATTCATTTACTATCACTCAGAATGGAAAGTAAGCGTATTTCATGTACTTCATTATTTTACAATGTTATTTGTAGGTAATAAAAAAAGTTAATAACTAATAATCGATGGGTTTAAATGGATACTTGGTAAATAAAAGGCGTTTGATCGAATGTCAAAAAATATGTTTTGCTTGTGTGGCTACCAATTCAATTTAATTATAAAAAAAAACCCCTATTTTTTTTTTTATTGGCAACACACGCGTGTTGGGTTATGTATTAGAAATAAAATCCCATGAAACTATTAGCGGTAATTAGCTGTAGAGGTTTGAATAGGAGGTTATTGTTGTGGTCGGTGCGTTGACTACTTGTCAAGTACTTGGTTGGCTTACAGAACTCTAAATTACTATTTATACCACCAGATAACTTTTATACGTGTAGAGAATACCCGAAATGTTTTTACCTTTCTTCAATAAGGTCATGCATACATTACTTTTGTTTAATAACCGCTAAGTCACTAGCGAACGGCATCGTATCATAGCTGTTGTTCATATTAGATGCCTGTTTATTTTTTTTATAATAACAAATCTCAATTGTACATCTAGAGGTCTTTTAAACAAGCCAAATTACAAGTGCACTATTATGATTTTAATTTATACCCAAAAGGAAACCACGGTTTTTGCCTTTGACAACATAACATACCAAACTGTACTAATATGTTTTTGATTATATAATATCTATAATATATATTTACAAAATGAGAGATAAAAGATGTTTGAGAGCCAAAATCAAGAATTTTTCAGAACAACAGTTGCAAAAACACAACATTTCCATAAAAGTTTCCATACAGTTCCATAAATTTAATTTTTGACCTTTTATCTACTGTAATACGCTAAAATAAAATTTAAACGTAAAAATGATAAAAATTGATTGCTAAACAACGAGTTTAATAGTATTTGTAATTACTTTATTTCATTTCTTTATCAATTTTTAAATTATGATACAATTTATGAGTTATGATGTAATACAAATGCAGTAGTAATATTTTGACACAAAAAACTACAAATTTCAACAATCACATACCATTTAAACATTTAAAAAATTGACATTTTGCATTTATCATGGCACAAATGAAAAATTACAAAATGTTTCCACCTCCTTTTTGACATTATTAATAGGGTTTTAAAATATTTAATATTAAATATATAAAGTAATTAAATATATATATATATAAAAGTTTTTATTTTTAATTATTTCTGATATTGTCATTTAGGAATTTTCATCTACATTTTTTCTTTTTACCTTTTTCCTAATCGTTTAACAATGAAATTGGCAGGTCAATCGTCTCCCTCTCCAATTTCAAAGGACTAAGTTTTAAACCCACTAAAATGGCGTAAAATGTAACACATTTAATTATTAATTTTAAAGAATGAACTTATATGATGTATTATTATAAAATGTTTCAAAAATGTTCCTACAAAATATGATATTTTATTTAGGGTAATTTTGAAAAATAAAAAAGGTAAACAGAGGATCATAATTTTCTCAGCGGTGGCAGCTCTGGCTTTATTTGTATTTGCAATTTTCATCTATTACAAAAGTGAGTTTTCCAAATATTTGTGCATGTTAAAATAAACGGTTCTGAGAATTGTTCAGCATTAAACCAACTCATTTTGGGTTGGTTTGGCAGCTCATTGTGCTAATTTTGTCATTGAGTAAATGCTCACGCACATAAATGTGTAAAGAAGATATTTTTTTTTTTTTAGGTTTTGACAATAATGCAGTGTGCATGACTAAGTCGTGTTTAAAATCATGTATGTATTAACTATTATTTGTGTAGTAGTTGCTTTTTTTTAATGAATATTATAACGCTAAAGCTAGTGTTAAAAAAAAGAAAAAAAAGTTAATAGGTACTTTTTGGTTACCAACTTAACATTTCCATTATGGGATAATTGTGAATATAAATATTAGTTGCCATAATTATTTCCTAGAGATTTCATCTTCTTCAATAACACCTTATGACAACACAATAATATTGTTATTTATTTTTAGCTGTGAACCTAATAGAATGTATGAACGACACAATCGATCCGTGTGAAGATTTTTATGAATTTGCTTGTGGTAGTTTTGAAGAAAATCATCCTTCTTTTACCGCCTCAAACGAAAATAGTTGGGACACTATATTGACTCAGAAAGCTTCAGCTATAGTTAAGAGTAAGTACAATAATCGTTGGTCAATCACTTTTAATGAATCATTCAAACCAATCATCAATATACTACCGTCAAACATAAATCATCAACAATAAAAGTAATACATTATTTAAAAGGTAAATTTAACGTTGATTGCTGATAGTGAAGTCATTATTTACACTAAATACATTTAATGATTCAATGGCGATGGTCACTCGAAGTTAGCCCACAATCGATTTAATTTATGTGGAAGATCAGTGTTGTTGGTTATTATCATAATATGTATACTGTCCATTTTCAATTCACTTAAAATGATTCATCCAATTTGCAATCGTGTAAATCTTGTAAGTTGATATAATTTACTCGTTTGTTGTGCAGGATTTCTAGAGGAGGAAAACAAAGAAAATGAACCGGAAGCCATTCATAAGACCAGAAAGTTCTATCAATCTTGTTTAGATGCTGTAACAGGTAAACACAGCAGTTGCAACATGCAATTTATAATTTCTCATCTTGCTGTCAATTTATCACAATATAACTACTGATTTCGAATGTAAACCATTCTTAACTAATAGTAGGTAATATGGAAACCCTATTTAATTTGATATTTGAATACAAAATAACATCGTGTGTGAACCTTCAGTTATCAATGAAACTGTTTAAATTGTTACTTTATTAATAAAATTGTTACTTAATTAATAAAGGGAAAATGGACAAAAAGTTCAACACCCTCAAGAACGTGTGGATGGATATAGGACTAGATACAGATTACTTGGACGACTCTGTTCCTTTGGACGTGGAAAGGGTACTTGCAAAGTACAAATCTAATTTGAACCTAGACATATTTTTTGGCCTGAACGTATACGACGATCCTCGGAATTCGTCAAGAACTCTTCTGGTCGTTCATCAAACCGACGTGCTTCCTTATTCTAAGAATAGGTGATTAATTTCATTGTATATAATACAAAATTATCTATGTATATTGTATTGTGTTTATTTTTTTATGTATCTATGAAAATATATAAAATAAAAAATCCTAATGATTGTAACGATTGCTCAGTAAAATAAAGTTAATTATTTTTTTTTAGAATAAATATAGTGACGGACGAATCTATTACAGTCGGCATACCAAAGTACATTGACTTGTACGAGTCGCTGGTGGACTTGATGTTGAATCGCACTCAACGCTGTTGGAATCCCAGGGTACAAGATTTGCTGAGTACATCACAAGAGCTCTACGACTTATCAAGAAAACTCATTGGCGTACCTAATTTTTGTTGCTATAGCTTTAAATATACAATTTCGTACCAATTATATTGGAATCTATTCTAGGTTAAAGAATATTCGTACCCGAATAAGTCGTACATCCCCGAAGTATTTACCATAGGGCGTCTGCAAAAACTCACCGACCAATTCGGAGGTCATTTCCAAGTGATTAAACTAAGATAAATAGTTTGTGAAATGTTTTTAAATCGATAATATTATTAATAGTTCAACTGGACGACTTTTATGAGGGAATTATTCGGCAGCACCGACCCAGAAGTCTACAGATTGGTCAACGAGGACGATCGTGATATTTTGGTCTACAACAAATATTACCTAATCGACGTGTTCTCCATTCTGGCCAACACTACAAAAGCTGTAATAAGTAATTACATTTCATTTAGCTTTTAGGCATTATACGATACAATATAGAACCTAAGAAATGAAAAATTACATTGACGTCGACTTCCCTAGTCCCTGTCGTTCGAATTCTATTAGTCTACCACTACCACTTGTGTGTTTATTTTTTAGAAATGTCAGTACTAGAACATGGGTTGAGAGCTATCGATAACATTCTGCCGATTGCAAAGATGGACGACAAGTAATACCTATTAATTTTATAGTTTTATTGAAAAATCGACTCTATAATGTGTACATCATTTTTATACGTCACTCAGATACTGTATGACCATAACCAAAGATTTGTTTAACATGGCGACAGGATATGCGTTTAAGAACGCACAGAACGACGACACTAAAATCGCAGCAAGTATACCTGCATTAAGATAATATAAACCTATTGAATTGGCGAAAACGATATAATTTTTGTTATTTTTCCCGTGATAGGTCAACAGAATGGTTGACAGTATAGTGTCGGCGTTTCGCAAGATGATAGGCGACGCACGGGGAATGGACGATAAAACCAAAACAGCTATACTGCGGAAACAAAACCATCTTAAATGGTTTATCGGCTATCCCGACAACTACGAGCACATGCTGGATCAACTATACGGAGAGGTAATTCAATTGTTATTGAATACGAACACTAACCAGTAACCAGTAAATCGGTTGAATACATATTATTATACTTGGTGTGTCGGGTGTCCATTAGTTAAAAGTCACCGAAGACCACGCGCAGAACGTTCTGTCAATTACAAGACATCAAGTCAAGTTGTTGTGGAGAGAGTTGCTCAATACAACGGACGTAGAGTTCATGGAGTAAGAAATATATAAAATACTGTTTAAGTTAACATTGAGTATGTATGCTTTCAACTTAGACTTACTCTTTGCCTTATCCTGTACAAGTTGGGTCTATCAGTTCATCGTATTATCCCTTTCTTCGTTTCCCAATTCCCTTTTTAATTTCTCTTCGTTTTTCAAAATTCTCAAACGATTTAACCTATATTTTGTTCTGTTATTTGTCCTCTTCTAGTTTGCGCCACTCCTAGACTACCTCATGTATACATAATAATTGATTCTATCGAATCTAGTCAACTCACACACCCACTTTTATATGTTATACATTTAACTACTTCCTTTCCATAATATGTCTTATTCACTGTTAACATACACACAAGTACCATACATAATTGGTGGTCTCGTTGTAGTATTGCAGTTTTACCCATTTTTCCTTTCATCGCTATATCCCATTAAATAATAATCTATCGTATTTGCCAATTTATACCCAATTTCTCTATTATCTCGCATACCGATTACTTATAGTTAAATCGCAGCTCTATTTTTATCACTTGCTATTCATATAAAACAAAAAGTTATTAACTTCCATCTCTACGATTCTCGACTACTCGACTCTTACTCTGCTAGGTATTCTGTTTTTCACCTACTTATTTTTAAGCCATTTCTATCTAATGTCTAGTTGTATTAATTATATGCGCTCGTCCATTACAACAATTGCATTATAATCGATCACGCCTTGGGATATGGTCGAGTTTGTTTTGGTTTCTTATTTGGGAAATTATTTAACTAAATATCGTATCGTGAGTTGTTGTAAAGCAGATGCGCTTTGTTTATTAGGAACGCGATATCAGTAGTTTTCGGTAAGACCTCTCATTCGGCTGTATAACATTAACATTCACTCAAGTCTGTGTTTGTTTTATACAAATTGATTTCGGAATAGTTGTTTGTGTATTGTGGGTTTTTATAATCGTTATTAACAAATATCGACATAATATAAGTTTATTGTTATGATATTATAGATGGGAAGTCCCGCCCGATGAAGTAAACGCATACAACCTTAACTCGAGGGTGGCATTTTGTAAGTATACATTTTTTTGGTCCTGAATGTTAATTTATGATAGGTTTTAGCCGAAAAATAGCTCAACATTCGTGGATCGGGCAATATATATTGTTTGCACGGTTCCTTCCCGAAATTAGCTGGCGATGATATAGACAGATTCTTGTTTGTATTCTCCTTTTATTGAAAAGACATATGTACAAAAGTAATAGATCATAAAATATGGGTGGCTAGAATGTTAAATGCATACGTTTAAATAATACAAATCTAATAATCATGAAAATTCACCCACAGCATAAGTATATAATGATCAATATTTTTGTGAACATTTTTTTAGTTATGTCAGCTGCGATTCTACAATCTCCTTTGTACTACAACGGCGTCCAGTAAGTTGGACTTTTTGCAAGAATGTATACTATTAAAATTTACGAAATATTGTCATTTATCAGTTTTTCAACGCAGGTCCATAGATTATGGCATCACTGGAAGCACAATAGGACACGAAATGACGCACAACTATGACAATACGGGCAGGCTGTTTAACGAGTTGGGCAACGTCCAGCCATGGTTGACTGACAAATTCAACAAAGAGTACAAACGCAAAATTAACTGTTTAATTAATCATTATGACGGTACACCAGTGACCATAAACAATCAGACAGTATGTGTGCAAGACAATATAATAATATGCCCAGCAAGAATTATTTCTGTCTGAATGTATTAAATACAAATTGTTGGTTTCAAATATTAATATATTTTGACACGCTTTGCAGTTTAAACTCGATGGCGTTTTGACGCTGGACGAGAACATCGCAGACTTGGTCGGATTAAAACAAGCGTACCTTGCTTACCAGAGCTTCGTGAAAGTCCATGGAAAAGAACCCAGGCTGCCTGGTCTAGAGCGATACACCAATGAACAATTGTTCTTCTTAGGCTACGCGAACGTAAGTAATGATTGCATCGTACATATATGTATATGTTTTTCATTTTTCCCAAATAAGTAAGAACGCAACGCAGTCATGACCGAATCTAGCAAAACAGTTGTACGACGATAGAAATTACTTATTTATAGAACTTGGGCGTGAAATTAATAATGATATTAAGTAACATAACATGTGTAATGAAATGCGTAGCAATTGTGTATCCATGTGGGTGTATAAGATATAGTTAAAACATGAATGAGTGTATAAGAGATAGTTTGGGAACGTGGTCAATAGGAGAGAAAATCAGTATTTAGAACATAATTGCAAAAGAAAGATTAACGAGAAACAGTAAAACGAGAAAAAGAGATTAAAGTTGAGATATTCAAAAGTAGACCATTAAAAAAGTTGAATGAATGTTATACATAAATGTGTGTCAGAAAGCTGAGGAAAATGCTTAAGTGTAAAGAGTGTGGAGAGGAAGGAGTACGACGGCCATCATTAGGAAGGATTTGGGTTTTATTTTATGTCTAATTCCTTACAAGTGCATTTGGCCATCCTTATCTAATTCACTGTCCACACCACCGATTTTCTTTCTGACATCATGTTTTTTCGTTTGGAAAACTTGTACCTCGAGTCTCTTTTATAATATAATATATTATAGTATGCGTCTTGAGAGCTGTGTTAATTCATTTTTTAATCAAAAATGTTTATTGACAGCAATACTGTAATTTCTACTACGAAGATCCCCAAGACGAGATGGAGAACGTACACAGTCCGAAAACGGTCCGGGTTCGGAGTGTCTTGTCTTTACTACCGGAATTCGCGGACGTCTGGTCTTGTCCGGTGGGCTCCAAAATGAATCCTAAAGTTGAAAAATGTCAAATCTGGTAACTTGGTCAAGTGACGCGATTAAGAAAAAGAAAAAAATCTCTATGCGATCTGCATTTTTTCAGTGTGATTGAAAAAAGCTTTACTAGAGCCCAGTAGCGTTCTCGTTAAAGTTCATCATTGCAATAATAGTATTAATTATTTATAATTTTATTAAATATAATATAATATAAATGTATTTATTATTTGTTTAATATTATACCTATTATATTTTAGTGCCCTAAGTACGCTAATATTAATTTATAGTTATATAGTATGTATGTAGTATTGTATGCAGTAGCTGGTCACGCGTTAACTCGATTACAATAATTGTTTTTTTTTCGTTATCTAATTTGACTGGTAAAAATATAAACTAGCGTATCAATTATTAAACTGCAGTAATTCTTTGATCTGTATGATTGCTTATTATACTGTGCGGTGGCACTCTATTTTGTTTTATCCCTGAGCCGCACCTGCGGTTGTAGAATTACCTGTGCAGGAAAATTTACTATAGTTGCCTACCGTTTACCTTGAGCGCAATAATAGTTGTTTATTTTATGGAAACCGTCACAAAAAAAAAACACAACTGTATATTATTATAATTTTATTGTATGTACGGCGCGAGGTTAATCATGTGAGCCGATAAAATGTATACTCTACATAGAATTAATTCCATTGTTGTTGAGGATTTCAATACGAAATCGACGTTGTATAAGAAAAAAATGAGAATAATAAATTAAATAATTGCAAAACGGACACAGGGGAATAATTGGTTAAATCGTCAAGTACAAGGTAAGCGCCTGCGGATAAATACAAGCACTAGAAATAAAATTGAAACATTACAGTAGCTATTAACCGACGCAACGGTGCGGCTGAACATCATAGTTTTGTTTTTTTAAATTGTCATAGTTTTTTGTGTTCTTGAGCCAGTTTTTAACGGGAATCGATTTGTGAGACAAATTACCAATTGCCACACGGTGACGTGTATTGAGGACTGATTACACATAATTAGGTATGTAATATTAATACAAAAAATATAATAACAAACCTCGTTAGAACATAAAACCAATATTATTCAATATGAGAAAAAATTAGCTCATCGTTATAGTAATAATAATAATCTTGTATTAATATTGTACATGTAAAAGATTACATGAGAATTGTACAGCGTAAGGTCTTTTATGGGATGATTTGTTTAAGAATAGTGTGAATGTAAATTTAATTATCAGCAAACAAAAAAGGTAACAATATTTCGGTTTTAATTAATTTTTTTCAACATCGAGTTATACAATACGTATAAGCTATGTTGTTGAATAAAAAATTCATTTTATGGAAATTTCATTCTCATTTTATTTCATTTGATAATTGCAGTTACCACATCTGATCCAAATTTACTAGATATATATTATGTTCGATAACCTGATTTTATAACATGCTATATATTATATAATACAAGTAATAAGACACAGCTAGATAAAAAACTGTATGAATATTTATGCGTTATGTGTGACTGAAAATAATAGTTCTTTTGTTGTATTATATGTATTTTATTATATATTTTGTACATTCATAAATTCTAAAGCCTTAATTACCGCTAACAATTACTATATAATAAAATAAAAGCTTAACGGGTTTTTTTTTATCAACCACAACCCAATAACAAATTGTTTATTTTTCTATTTTATTTATTAAGCATTAATGAGTATAATCACATACATTATTTTCTTATCGCTAAATTTATATTTTAATACTTTTTTTCTATTATTATTTTATAGTTTTAATTGTTTAACTTAATTACCAATATACTAATATTTTAGCCAATTTACAGCCGATCTGTAAACAAATGTTCGAAAAGTTGGTATAGGACAAAACGATGAGTAAAATAGAGTTATTTTAAAAACTTATTAAAAACAAAATTCGTGCTCGCGTTATCATGATAAAATATAAATAATTAGAGTGCATTGAGTTTTACAATGCATTGTTTTGCGCAAACGTTGTTAATCCACTTATCACACCTACGCTTTACAAATCTTTTGGCCCACTTTACAAAACGACTTATTTTTTATGACTAGCGTGTGCTCATTAATTACAAAAAATAGCTGTTACATTGAATCACATCATGGTGCACGCACAAACATTGCATGTAAAGCAGACATCGAATCTCTTAACATTGACTAAATTATCAATTACATTGTCAACACTAAGAAAAAAAACATTGGTACATTGGCCACGAACATTTAAATTGATTTTCAAAATTGTTATTTTATATTAACGACGAGCAGTGTTTGTTGCAAGACAATAAGACAATATATCATAATACCTTCCTTGTGATAATGAAGTAATATTATATTTGACTCACCATGCTTAAACCTTGACTATAGCACACCCCATACTACATTATAAAAAAAAAATGAGAGAAATTAAGAAAACTAGTACAGAGCTAGTAATTTTCCATATCATTTTTTTAATGGTAATTAAATCGTTCGAAGGTCTTTTGAGGCGGTTTTTCGATTATTAAAACTAATTGAGGTCGCCGTTTGCAAACATTTAAATAACACTTTCATTAACTGTTCTTTACTTGTTGATTCGGTTTTAGGAATTGGTTTGCTATACGATTTGACATAATAACAGTATTGTCACCCATTATAATAATTTCTGCTATAAAACTTACGTCATTGTTTGAGACTCGAGTCTAGATACTGACAAACACTATTGTAGACAATTGTGCACTATTGTCTTATTATATTCGTCAAACAGTATAATCTATCAGCATGTAAAAGATAAATGTAAAATATATTAACAAAAAAAAATAATTTGAACTGTACATGCTCTTGATAACCATTTTATTTTTTGAGTTCAAATGTATTATCAAATATCATATGAAAAATTATTTTTTATTTTATATTATTTATTAAAACATTTCAAAAATTAAAATCCAAAAATACCTATAATCAGCCAAATCCGAATACTTAAAAATCCAGATTTCAATCTCATTTATTATGATACCCAAGGTTATTAGCTTTTGACAGCAGTTGTTTTTTTAAATCTATTAATTGTTATTTTCATGGAAAACGATGTGGTGACTGAAATAATTTTTCGGTCGAATAAGCTCTCACTGCTAAGGTCATTCCGTATTTTAGAGTCCACCGATTAAGAAAATACAATGTAAGGCTAGACACAGAAAAACCCCATCGTGGTAAAACCAATATTTTCTCGGTTCCAGATCAATGCTAAAATTTATAGGTGCACCTAAAATTCTGATAGAATACGACTTATCTGTATAAAAAAAAAAATTCATGCGACGACGTTCGGGATTACAATATCTATTATATTTTTCGAATATTATTTTAATAAGTGTAATAGGATTATATGAGGTTTTTTTTTTTAGATAAAGACGAATTTTTAAGAGCTCCGGACCCAAGTCATATCAATGTGTATTTAGAAGTACTACTGTACTTGAGTGTTCTAACAAAATAATTATTTAATATTATCGTTGGTTAATACAAAAATAGGATTGTATTTTCTTGGTTTTAGCTTAATAATACTAAGAAATTAAATGTATTTATCCATAATTATAGTTATTGTATAAAGTTTCAACGCTTGGTATTTTTTTTTCTTTTAAAAATTTAAGCTTAATTAAAAATTTGATTTAAATTGATACGCTTCGCTGTAAAACGTACAGCCCAAAAACTAATCACACATAACAAACATTTAGTGATTATTAAGTTTATGGTGTTTTATTTGAATTTTGGTTTAATATATTTAATTGCTTGTGAATAAACTCAACCTTCAAAAGGACCGTTTTACAATTATTAGTAATAATCGAATGAAAGAAACGTTTCCTTATTTCTGACCTCCTGACCAGTGGAGTTGATTCATGACTGCCTTTTTTTATCATCGATTCACTTTCGCGTCCCAACACATCACACATGTTTCCTTTTTCTTTTCTTAATCCCGGTCGCTTATTCAAATTATGACTTGAATTGGCACACCTAAAAAAGACTAATAGTAATCTATAAAATTTCGGAAATTCAGAATTTAAAGTTTATTCTTTACATGAAAAAACCGTTATTCTAATAGTATTTAAAGTGTATTTTATAATTTTCCTGTATTCATGCTTAATGTACTCAAATCTGTATTGATGTTGTAACACAAATAAAGCTACACAATTTTTTATCATAAACACGGATAGTCAACACGTTTTTTTAGATATCATAGCTCCTCAGTCCTCTCTATGATACAAATACAATAAATTGCACTAAAAATGACAAATTTTGTTTGTTAAACTTTTCGGAAAGCCTTCAAAAAATGTTGCAAGTTGAATAACTTGTGCTTGTCGTGCTTGTAATTGCTAAATAAGGGGACGCACGCCGGAATGTGTATAAAAGAGAAAGACAGTTCTGTTTCCATAAAAGTATCTACGTCTCTTTCTGGCATGGGGTTATCTATAGGTATAGCCGAATGATGTTTTGACCCCTTGTTGTTATCACTTTGTTCTCAGGCGATAAGCTTGGTGGCCTATCCGTTATTTTTTTTTTCTATCTATGCCTACGAATTAAGTCGTTCGTCGGCAACAAAGTCGATGGGCCCTAGTAAAAAAAATTGTGTTTTTTTACGCGCCAAGAGTGGTTTTGGGTCGGTTCGGACAAGTGCGATCGCTTAAGCTTTTACTATTGATTTAAAGTGTATTGTTTTGTTAAATAGGAAGTACAAATACAAATGAGAAACCGGTAGTCTCTTTGACCTTCGCTGTATACCGTGTGTGATATTAATGACCAGCTGATGGATAATAGTTTAAATGGAAAAAAACCAGTACCGTTTTGGCACACCGTATAAAATGGAAAGTTGGGGCAAAAAGGCGGTTGGCGGGAGGGGGGGGGCACAATATGTAGGTGAGTTTCGCCCGTTGCAGCATCGTCCGGAACATTGGCGCACATTTGTTGGCAGAATTGCATTTTTGTGGTCTAAATAGTTTAAAACATAAATACACACATAACGACGATAATGATACATTATAATATATATTATTATACGCGTCAGAGAATCTGGCGGGTACCAAAACAATAAAAATAAAAAACGTACAGCCACACTCACTCTCGCAGACATATACGTTACACCGTTAAAAAACATATTATATACTATACTGTATTGTATTTGTGCTGTGCGTTTCAGTCTCTCGAAGGCCGACCCGTTGTTGGCACGCGACATTCGAACGTCTGCCGGCAGTACGTTACCCGGTAGTTTGGCGTTCGCTAACGCTTTAATTATTACTATTTATACTATTATTATTATTATTACAGCATAATGTGTTTTCCATGTGAAATAACATGTTAAAATAATGTACACACACGTTGAACTCACTTAATCGTTAAAAAAAAAAATCACCTGTAAACTACCGTCGTCGTCGTCTTGGTCGGATTACAAAACAGAAGCGCCGTAGATCTATATATTATACCAGAATGGGTGAGTTCAAATCGAGTTTTTTTTCAATGTAATTTTTTTTCACAACACGTACAAAAAGTGTAGGTACAACCGACAAGTGACAAACTTGAGCCGGTATACTTGTACACCTATTCAAATGGGCTACTAAATACGCCGTTCTCGTCCACCGAGACGACGTTCGATGAATAATAATTATCATTATATACACATACCTAAAGATGTGGAATTTTTTTACGATAGCTTTTAATTTATCTTAAATAATTTAACGGTACACACCACATACCGAGAATTGTGATTTTTAGCCCGTGTCATGTACCTACAACTAATATCGATTTGACTTTTTCCACTTATTATATAATATTATTTTATTATTCACTATAACGTCAGCAACGTTGTAATCGTAGGAAAAAACGTCCGAGTTTTAAAAACCTATTAAGTGTTCGTGGGTATTAGTCATTCAACACCATAACACGGACTATCATACAGAACATGTGCGATATTCTGAAGGCTCTGAATTAGTTTTGGTCTATGACTAAAGTACAATCGCTGTGGATTTGAAGTGGGCGTTACTGCAGTTCTTTGTCCGTTGTGCATAATCTTTTATCTTTAAATGGTCATACATATTATATATGTATATTAGAATTTTGCACTTAAAATCGCTGTCGGGATTACCGTCTGCCCGCGCAGCAATAAAAATATATTGCAATTATATTTCATTGTACAATAAAATAATTTCAACCAAACTAATTGTCACAATATAATACTCAGTATTGTCGCAATATGTTTCTATTCATATTTTGACAGGAAATAAAAACGTTTACAAAAAAAAAGCTCAAAAATATTATACATTTTTATAATATTAAACATTATACATTTGTAAATTGCTATGTGGCTAACAGATTAGGAACAGGGAATAACTAGGTAAACCATTAATATTATTTTGATTGTATCTTGATGAAACAATGTACAATAACCCTCTCATTTAGATAAATTCAAAACTTAAGTAATATAAATTTAGAATTTTTTTTTTAATTTACACTGTATCTTTAGTTAGATAATACCAAAGTTGGCTGGATTCAACTGGTTAACTGAGCTGAATAAATGCCTTGATAAAATAAGAGAATTTAAATACACTTTAAATTTTAAATAAAAACACTATATTATTTTTTCCCCGTCTTTTTGTTGCATAGTTAACAATATTCTTTTTTTTTTTAATAACAATTATTTCATTTATACTAATCGCCGAGGGAATTAATTATTTAAACGTCTCTCACGATCTAAACAAGCATAAATTATTAAATAAGAAAAAAAATCTTCTATTTCAGCATCACTAGCATATCTAATGTTAAACACATAATAATTACGCAGTTTATTGTTGGATATTAAAATGTTTTTTTAATACAATGAGATATAATTGTATAAAAACAACTCTGTGGATTGTACATGTAAAATACTAACGTTATATTATTATAAACACATGCAATGAAAATTGATAAGTGATTTTTGATATTAAATATTTGCCGTAATAAATAATAATCACTTTTAAATGTATAAAATTAGTATTGTCTATAATTTTACTCGCGCTTAAACACGTGCTCCATCCATCCATGTTCTCTGTGGATATTAGACTGTGGAAAAGTTAAATATTAATAATATTATCATAATGACACGCCGCATTGTTTGTAGTATACATTTGTCAATACTTTTACCTACACTGTTAATTTGAATAATCATAGTAGGTATTAAAAAAAAATACATGAATTTATAGCCTTCCAAATATTAATGTTGACGTTTCCAGGTCAAGTAATTTTGTAGAACACAAAGTTTACTATACTTAATAATAAAACCCAACACTGTTGTTGTTATAACGGCAAACATGTGTTGGCTGTCGCACAACTCTTAACTGTTATGGGAGAGCGCTAATGGCTCAAACGACATATTATGTATACGGAGTGCATTGAATAAAAGTGGCACCTGCGGTAGCATCAGTGTCAGTGACTTGAAAAAAATTATTTAGAGTGAACTGTTCATAATTTTAACTTCACTGCGAAAGTTTCCCGATTCCCGGTTTCGTTGAAATCAATGTCAAATATTATCTTAATGTTTAATAAAATAATAAAGGAAAACTCTACATTTTATTTAGACTTAGGCTTGTCGCGTCATAGTATAAAGTTAATAATTTAATACTTATCCCACTTAGCCACTAGTTTACACTTGGTCAAATTTGTAAACAATTACCTCAAATTCAAAATATAAAAATTGGAATTTTGCATAAAAAGCTTTCACACTAAGTCGGACAAAACCTGTGTTAAAAAATAATTGTCAAATTTAGATTCAATCTCACCAGTTGCATTAGCGTGGAAAAATGTGTTGGATTAAAGTAATATTTACTAGATTAATAAACTACTCAAATTAGATGTACCCAAATCCATAAAAATAGTTGCACATGCATTGAAACAAAAAATATAATTTGTTACACATGTAAAATTTAAAATGTCTTCAAACGTACTTGCCACGCTAATTTACATTAAAATGTAATGTAATGTGATTTTGTTAAAATTATTTTTTTTATTGAAAACGAAACGCAATGAAATTATACTTGTATTATGCGACACGCTGTATATAACTACTGAGTACTGTGTATTTGTAATAAATGTATATGAACCTGTATAATGTGTTATATTAGGTTTTTTTTTGTTGAGCAGATGACAGAGACATCGAAGACTTGCCGACGACCAGACTGAAGTCGGTTAAACTTAATGTGAAGAACGGTTCCCGAAATGACAACGATATCGAGACAGTATACGATCACGAGTAAGCAAGACATTTAATTATTATTATCTCAACTGACCGAAAGTAATTAATTTGGCCCAGGGCCAGGTCAGAGTCTAAGGCATTTGGTCCTAGCCATGACCAATTCTTCAAAACACGTTTTTTATTACGACATATAAGCGAGGGCTTTCTTTAAAAATATTATTATCCTAATAAAGGGCCTTATCTCCAAATGGCATACATGTGTTAGAATTATATTGTACGGGTATACCATTTCCCCAAGAACAAACATGTTGAAAAACATTACAAATGTAATTTTGTTTAGTAGACATGAACCTGCTGCCTTTAGTTTAGCCCGTTTAGGCTTTGTATTTTCCTAAGCCATAGGAAATGTTGAGATTTATCTAAATAAAATCACTAGAAAACTATCAAGATAAATTATTGTTTGATCTTGTGTAGACAAAAATTTTATAAAATCATAAAATTCGCGTTAAAACAATAAATATCCTTAGATAAAATCACATTTCTATTTATATAAAGTCCAATTTTCGAAAATGTTTATCTATTTATTCTTATATCAAAAAGTGTTTAGCCGTTCAAATTAATTTTAAAGATTTATATTTCTATGTGTGTTTACTCGACTTGACACGTATCAGATAATTATTATATATTTATTTAAATATACATTTGTCTGCCAAACTATCAATTAATGCATTTTATTTTACTCAGCTGAAGCATTCGGACTGATCATTTTCAAAAAAGTAAACTACAGCCACGGTAATTTAGAATTGTCTTCAATCGGATAATATTTGGATAATTGTTGTGTTTTTATAGGGAAAACATTTTTTTTAGTTTTTATAACGGTTCTGGTCATTAAGCCTATTCGCGGCGGAATGATCTACAACACTAGTATTATAATTACTATAATCTAGACCGAACCATAGTCTATTATTGATCGATTCAATTTTGTTTTTTGTACATCGCGATAACAATAGCCATCTCTGTGATAATAATTTTGCTATAGTTTGGAGGCCGTTGAACCGTGACCCGCAGTCGAATTACCTACTGCCCCGTAGTAGAGGCTCGCCCAGCCTCGAGGAACAGATATAATAATGATTATTCTTATTCGTGTCAAGGTCGCGGAACAAACACAAAATAATACCTACATTATTATTGTTATATTTATTTGTATTATTATTAAAAAAGCAATTTAGGTGTGTATATTATACATATATATAAACCCATCGAGGGAAATCAATTTCCCACGGTGTTAACTCCTGTGATGTACAATACGCAGGTACAAAAAGAATTCGGCAAGTCGACGACAGTCCTACATAATTTTAATATTACTAATGTTCATATTTGCAGTGCTCGTGGCCCTGGTCGTCTTAACACGTTCCCGTGAGTAAAAAAGACTTAGCGCTTTTCCACAATAGTCCAACCACGTCGTTCACGGTTTTCGTTGTTTTTTGTTTATTTGTTTTACAGACATGACGAGAGACAAGCAAGCGGTCTGTACCACGCCGGACTGTTTGAGATCTGGTGAGCATCGGGATTTGTTTTATGGCTTCATTATAGTATACAATGTCCGTGTAATAATTTGTAAATACACACGACGATTGATGGAAAAGGCGTCTGCCGATCTAAAAATATAAAACAATCCCGTTTGTTTATGTTTCTAGCTTGGACCATCATCGAGTCTATGAACAAATCCGTGGACCCGTGCGATGACTTTTACGAATTCGCCTGCGGCAACTATCCCACGAGACATCCGGTGCCCAAAACTTCCCTGGCCAACGATAGATTCTTAGAGTTGTCCACCGAACTACTGAAGAGCATCAGGGGTACGTCGACGATCACCGAGCTTCCACCGTTTTTAGACTTTGTCAATTTAACATAACCTTTTACACGTGAACTCTCCTTAAGCTTCTAAGCCTATCCTAGCTTATCTATTCTAAATAGATGCGAACTTGTTTTGAAACGATGACCCATCGACCTCTACCCATATCCCATGTATTGTATGTCAATGTCTATTTCGTGGGAAATAAATACCGGGAAACCCGCGTTTAACAATGCTAGTTATGGTTGCGCTTAAAACTTCTTTGAAGGACTGTTTCATTTGTTACAGAATACGTCTGTATAACCGTAACTCGAATTATTGAGCTTAAATAAAAAAAACCCAAATAACAGTATTCCAAAGACATAGCATATTCAAGGTTGATGAACGATTATGTAAATTGAAATTTATGATGCACAGCACATTTTTCATTTGATTAAATTATCGTTCTAGCTTTTCTGATATAAGTTTTTATTTCTTGGAATTGGTCGCAGGCTTTTATCTAATTATACGCCGGCTAAATGGAATTGATTAGTGATATTGTTTTTTTTACGATCATAATTTTGGTTTTGTTTTTGTTAAGCCGCATATCACGTACTTGCGACATTCTAAATACTTTTTTAGTCAATCTTTGTAATCCTTTAGCTGTGCTGGCTAAAAGAGCCATGTCATATGCATATCATGTTTTTGTTCTAGTTGTAGTGTATTGTAATAGTTTGCTCTATTTCGGTACATCTTATGTGTTCCACCAAATTTTCTTAACTTCTTTAATCTTTATTTTTATTCTACTGTAAATCTGTTTGTACTTCGTTACTTTTGTTTTTAAAATAGATTAAATTTAGTTTGCATGACTGTTGACTTGTTATAATAATTGTGTAGTCAACATAAATATGTTTTCGTTATTGACTCTTGCAGCTTATATGGAGAAAGAAGACTCAGATTCGGAACCCTATTCAGTGATGCAGTCGAGGCAGTTGTATCGTTCTTGCATGGCTACAGGTAAGTAGTAGGTATGTGTAAAAATGAGGACTTCCTCATTTTTATACATTTAAACAGTAACGTTCATTTTTTTCGACAACGGTCTGACTCCAAAGTCCAAAAATAATATTTTTATCGCGTTGTTATGCATACAAGACCGGTTTTTTGATTTTTTGACGGCAACGCCTTAGTTGAAGCTATATGTATTGTGCAAATTGCGTTTGATCGGCTTAAAAAAACTGTGGACGATTTCAGACGAGATGGACGCCAAAGGACTTAAGCCGCTGATCGCCATCCTTGACAAGATCGAATTGCCTCGCGTAGGAATCATTTCTAAGAAAAAAAACAACGTTACCACATCGGGGTTGCTGGCTCGCGCCAAACGATATCTTAACATGAACTTCTTGTTTTACATGAGTGTCGAGCCGGATCCCAAAAATCGGACCATCAACCGGATCACGTTGTCCAAACCTAGTGAATCTTTCGACTCCTTCCCGGCGTGAGTACACCGTGTCAAGTTGTCACAGTTTAAAAAATAAAAATTGTTTTGTTTAAAACGTGCAACCGGTTTTGTGTCCAGTAATAAACTAAACAATAAGATCAAAAAGTATTTCCGGAGGAAGAAGAGGGAAACGTTGGCTTCGGAAGAAAAAGTCGACACCGAAGACGATGACGAAGACGAAGAATCGGTCGATTTCCTTAAATCGTTTGGAAAGTACGTCAAAGGCGTCTGGATGGATATTTACGCGCATTTGACCAACGAAACCTTACCCAATGGTTTCAACTTGAATCCAAGGATCTTACAAATACTGTCGTTTAACAATGAGATCACAGACGTAAGTGACGACCAGCGTTCTAATATTATTCAATATAAAAAAGCACCACTAAACTCTTAGCATAGAATGATATCTATTTTCTCAAATTAAGACATATAGACTCAATCTAAACTTCGATACAGATTACTTTTAGGTCAAAGTTATACTTAAACCTTAAAAAATAGTCAAATTCAATAACCCAGTTTTTAATAACGTTATCAACTAAATCACCCATCACCGTGTATTTTAATACAATAACAACTGCATTGTTAGAGTTGAAAACAAATATCAAATGTCATATTGGATTTTTCTTTGATATAGCTATGCAAATTTGAGTTTCATACTTTTATCATTTTATCGAAAAACTTCTTCCCTAAACTTAATTGGCTCAGCATTGACTTAAAAGAGTACGGCTTGTAACCACTATGCCTTATGGAATAAAGATGATATTTTTTTAATACATTTTACAAGGCATATTGACTTTAGTTTTTCAAATTTCAATTTATAAAATATGCTGTTATAAAAAGTTAAATACTACAACAATTTGTATGTTTATTTTTCATTTTCGAGCGTTTAATAAAAAAACACTGAAAAACCCTTGGTTCAAGACTGCCACAACTTAAAATTTGGATTTTTTTTAGTTAAGGCGGCTACAAGTAAATTGCTATACATTTTATCTAAAAAATGGTCCACCGCCACAAGGCGTAACCCAACCAGCACCTCGTTATACATTCGTGTCGGTATTGAATTGTTTTTATTCTTGCGGTTAAAAAAACAATACTGCCACATTTTTAGATACTGCGTAGTTGAATGTTTTTTTATAGTTAAGCATAAGAAATCCAGACTGCCTCATTTTGATTTGAAGCATTTTAACACAATTATTCTCAACCGAATGACACCCGTGAAAAATGAATAAACTGTCACATTTTGTGTTGTAGCATTAAATTAATTTAACATGATAAACAAAACTGCCAGATTTGTCATTATTACATAAAACAAATTTTGGTTTTAAATTGTGAACTGCCACAACAATCAAAAGTTTACTTATTTTAAAAACCTTTTGCAAACTCTCCATAACCTCAATTTCTGGTGTCTTGTTGAGATTTATCTAAGTAGCTTAAAATTAAAATAACCAGCATCGGGCAATGTCAATAATTGCAAAGTCTTAAAATTAAAGCTTTAAACTAATCATTTAGGAACAGTTTTAATCTTATAATTAAATTTTCTCAAAACTATGTTTTTTGAGTTGCGGCAATCTTGCACCAAATTTAGCCTAACTTAAATCCATCCTCTTATAAAGAAGAATTAAAAAACAAGCTCTTCAAAAGGTATTCTTCCGTCAAATAACTTTTCACCACAAAAAAGCTATCGTAATAGTTTTTTCAATATTAAAAATATATTTTATGACCTTTTTATTTTACAGAAATGCGTATTCACCAAAAATTCAAACAGAAAACTAGAGTTCATTTAGAACTTTTTAGGTTTATTCTAACTTTGTTAAGTTAAAAAAAAATCACAAAACTAGTCCAATTTTAAATAATAATTCGTTATCATTTATTTATTGTCTGTGCAGTTAAAATCTAAAGTGTACGACTCCGACGATGAAAAGGCGACTCTCATGTCAGTGGATGAATTTCAAACATATTTACAGAGGAACGAAACGAAGGGCGTAGTACGTATAATACTATATTTTAACGTCATTGTTCAATAGCATTGTATCACATTATTTATTAAGATATAATTGCCCTATAACGGCTGTTCATAATCATAATAATTATCAAGCCTATTTTTAAATGATAATAAGATTGTGTTATATATATTTTAATCAAAGCAATTTAAAACAAACATCGTAAAAATGTAAAACAAACTTGTTTTTAAATCATTTACTAGAACATTACACACTAATTACATTACATAACATAATTATTTGAGTTTTTTTTTAAACATAAACCTATAAAAATCTATTTTATATGTTTATAATTTTGTAAAAAATGTGTGAAATGTAGATGAAATGGAGATATTACAGCTTTCTATGGAATTAGTCATTATGTAGTATATGTACATATAAGTGTATACACAACTTATAACATAAAACAGTGCGCAAAACTATAAAAACCCAAAAGCTGGCACTTCCAGCTGATTCTGACGTATAAAACGCCATGGTCGAAACAGATATTTTGGCAAAGTGGTGGAATTTATAATTTATAAAAAAGTATAATTAGTGTTTTATTTACATTTTGTACACATGTTGCTATAAATTCAAGAAATAAACTATGTGTCTTATTACCTTAAAAATTTTATAAATAGGATATACAACAGATGAGAACAAGAGATTTTTTTTTAAAACAATTTTTTTACTAAAATGTTATGAACATAAAAAGTATAAATGTTGAATCAAATATTATTAACTCGACTATACTTCCCCAAAAGTTCTCGTTCAAAATAAATGATTGTCACTTAAGAATAACAATTTTAACAATTTTCGTATGAACGCTTAATTATTTTACTAACAAAACCGGAAAATTCCAAAAAATTGGTTGACATTTCTGTGCCCTATGTAGTGTAATTCTTATTGCAGATTCACTTTTACTGTACGTATAATAAGTCTTGCATTTTAAAAATTCTAATAATAGATTAAAGCAAGAGTTTTTATGAAATAAGAACTTTATAAACATTTGCCAAAACTTTTGTTGGGTTTAGTTTATTTTTTATTTTTAACATAATTATTTGAAAATACTTATTGTTGTGATAATAGAGTATAAAAATGAAAACACTAGTTCACATTCTCATTATTATATTTAGTTATTTATTTAAATATATTATATTGTAGTAATTAAATGCACGTTGATTTATTTTTGCAGATTAATTTCAAAGAGTTCTTTACTATTTTGTTTCAAGATGTCGAAAACGTGACGTTGGATTTCAATACGGATTTAATTGAGGTTAATAATATAGAATACTTCGGCGACCTGTTTGCATACTTGTCGACCACGACCAAAGAAGAAAGAGGTAATTAAAACGATTTTAAGAATAATAATAAAAAGCTGTACTGTTATCTTAACAATTATGTTTTTTTTTCTCAAAATAAGTCATTAACATTTGGTGGGAAGTCGTTTCGAATCTCCTACACTATACTACCAACCGAATGGTGTTCATACAAAACAGATACGTATACGAGACGACGGGACTAGAAAACAACCCTTCCAGATCCATTTACTGTTCTTCGGCTGTAAACAACCTGATGGGAATGGCTGTTTCGCATTTTTTAGTCGATTTGGAATCGCTAAACGATACGAAAAAAATGGTATGCATAATGTACTGTAATTATATTAACACTATATATTTATTCATTGTAGTTGATGATGAGTTGCTGATGGTACTGTAATTAATTACAATATATTGGTATATTACATATATATATATATATATATATATATATATATATAGCAATACAATATATAATTACAATTATATTAACACTATATTAGCCATTGTAGTTTGTAACTTTGAGTGAACCTATTATCTGTATCATTGTCCACAGATTCATCTGTTAGGCTTAAGACTCTGTTTATTGACATTGGACATTCAGTGTAAATTGTGCAGAAATATGCATCTATAAAAACGTTGATTGTACTATTTTAAAGATGTTGGAAATGATGGACAACATTCGCTGGGCATTTGAACGGTTGGTCAAAGAATTGGATTGGATGGACGAAGAAACCAAAGCGAGCACATTGCAAAAAGCCAATATGATGCAAACACTAGTTGGGTTTCCTGAACACCTAGCTGAAGCTAATGAACTTGACGAATACTACTCGGACGTAATAAAATCATACACATTTCAATATTAACGTCATTAGTTCTGTGTACAATTTTAATTTTTAAACGAAAACACGTTTTAGGTCGAAGTGATTGAAAACGATTTTTTCAGCAATGTCCTCAAGTTTGTAGAGAAGACCTTCTTGTATCAATTACAGTCACTTAGGATTACAAACGACTTAGATCCAATTAATTCGTAAATATAAACTGATTTATATAATAATTCTAAAACCCAGTTGGCATTGCTATGTTTGCTAAAGAAGCTAAACAGTCTTTAATTAAGTAATTTGACATTTTTAACGACATACGTCGGCTTCTTAATAGTGCAATTTTAGTTTTTGAACAATTATAATGCTCTGTCATGTTCCATAATGAAAACAATATAGAATTGAATTTGCAGATGGTCTTCTGATCCTTTGGACGTCAACGCATTTAACTTGCTTCAATCAAACACAATAAGTAATTATTTCGATGTAAAAAAAAAACACTCGCCATCAAAGTAATACGTTTTTAATTTTGCAAATATAGCTGTTCCCGCAGGAATATTGCAATTCCCTTTCTTCGGTCATGATTTACAGTGAGTAAATCACAATGATGTCCGAGTCAATAGTTCTATAACTCCACGTGCCGACTTAAGTGTTTTGTAAATTTTCTTGTGCAGAGTGTTGAACTACGGTTTCCTGGGCACTATTCTTGGACACGAGTTGACACATAGTTTCGACAATACCGGTAGGAAATACGACGAGAACGGCAATGAAAACATTTGGTGGACAAACAGCACCACTGAAGAATACGAACAGCGTACCGAGTGCTTTGTTCGCCATTACGAATCCTATTCAATAACTGGACTTAACAAAACCGTTAACGTATGTATAACTCGTCCAGTTCATCTTGAGCCCATTCGCCCATTACTTTTACATGAACAAATTCAATTACATAAATTAGTGTGAACACTGTATTAATTGTTATCGACTAAATTTTTTTCGCGTTAGGTAAGCGGTAAGTTGACTTTGAACGAAAATATTGCCGACAATGGAGGTTTGAGAGAAGCCCTTATGGGCTATAGGAAATTTATTGCTGACAGCTGCGAAGAACCCAGGCTGCCCGGTCTTGACGAATATTCTAACGAGCAAATGTTCTTCATAGCATTTGCCAACGTAAGTTCTAAGATTTTTTGATAAAAAAAACTTTGCAAGACCACACATTTTTAAAATGACACTCAATAACTCTGGAAAAAAGTCATTGGGTGACATATCGGAGAATCCTTTTTCAATAAAAATAGCTAGAAATGAAGTGAAATAAATATTAATCTAGAAAACTCCTGAGCAAAACGTGTAAGCATTTGAATTTTTGACTTTTGTAGAATTGGTGCGAAGCGTCGACAACAGAATCAATAGCCAATTCCGTGTTAGACGAACACAGTCCAAATATCATCCGGGTCGTGGCAGGATTAGCCAATTCGAAGGAATTCAGCGACGTTTGGCACTGTAATAAAGGTTCAAAAATGAATCCTCACAAGGATAAATGTAAACTATGGTAATGGTAGAGACCATAAAAAATAATGCTTAAAACTACCAAAATCCATTACGATTGAAAACCATTGCTATATTTAAAGAAATTCGAATGTGCCATCACTTTAACTATGATCACTTCATAAAATATGTCCAAAATACATATATATAAATGAATACATGTGTATATATATAATATATATCTGTGTTCGATTCCATCCGGCCATGTTACAGAGCCTGTCCGTCGACCCTCACGTTGGGTCAGTCGAATATTATATTTTTATAAATCGGTACTTATTTGTTTTATTAGTAAACATGTAAAAAATAAATATTTTTATGTCATAATGTTAATTAATTTTGTCTAAAAATAATATTGTAAATTTGTGTAACGTTATATAGGAATTATTAAAAAAAAGATTACCATTATTTGTTTTATTATTCATATCATAGTAATTAATCTTTCGTCATTTATCAAGTTGATATTGTTGTGTTGATTGTTTTTAACAAACGTATTTAACTATCTAGGAATGACAATAGTCAATAAACAACATAGTTGTTAATATTGAATAAAGAATTTTAAAATTATAATAATTGTTAGTTGAAGAATATGTATAGATAAGGTTTCTATTAGTTTATTTCTAAATATGTTTTTTATCAGGAAAACAATGTTGATAATATTGTTTTCATCTAAATTGAAAATAATATTTGACCTTACTTTTTTGTTTAGACAAACAAATAAAAAATTGTATTTCGATAAGAAAAATATCAATGAATTTGTCTGACTTCATTTCAAATTAAAATCCTTATATATAATTAAACGACACTACGATGTTGTCATTAGGTAAGTTTTGGAGTCTATAAAGTTAAAACTATACATTATTATGTTAAACATGTTGTCTATGTAACAAATGAACTTTCTTTAGGCAATTATTTAACTTTATAGGTAGATTACACAATTATTCGGTATTCTATTTAAAAAAAAGTTACATACCGGTAGTTGTATGAAACAGCAAAGTGGCATAACTATAAGTTCAATACTGTAGATTAGATGGCTAATATTCATGTGTACATAAAAGTTGTCTATAAAATATGATAATTGGTTTTTATGGGACGTTGGTTTGACGTTAGTTTGGTTGCCGTCAGAAACTCCCGAAAAAATATAAACGTTAAAAAATCAATCCAAAAAAACAATCTAAACAATACTAAAGTAGAAATACTGAACAGTATTGCAATACAGTTGTTTTTGGTAGGTTAGGCTTTATTTACAATTCAGCCTTTAATTGCGTTTTTTTCAGTAATAAACAAATATTTATTTTAGACAGTGCGCTTTACCTATACTTATTTTTATTTCGCCAAAATGTTAGGCGTTATATAATAATTGTATACTATTGTGTTTGAATTTTGATCATTGTCAACAGAAGGTCTACATTAGTAAATCGTAAAAACGCAATTTTTACCATACAAATTCGTGTATAACCTCGAAATTAACAATTCTCTAGTTACTATAATAATGTCCTGATAGTGCATAAAATAATTAACAAAATTGGTAAAATGAAATTTTGATGGTACATTGTAAAAAATTAACACATTTTGTTTTCATTATAAATCAATATTTTTAACAATGAGTACAAATACCGGCTTTACAAGATAAAATGTTTTGTTAATATCAACTAAAATTAGCCCCCCTATTAGTAATTTCTTGATAAAAACCTTAAAGTGTCCCTAGTTTATTATAACTAAAATAAAGATTGAATACAAATCGAAACAAATCCATGAATTTGGTAAAAATTTAAAAAAAAAATTTTAATCCTTTTTTTTAAATATAAAATTGTTTTTTGTCTATTATTTTGACCATCATTTTATACATTTCATAAGATTTAATAACCGGACCACGAGTGTTCTTGATACGGTTTTATATGAAAAATCAACTACAGCTCAACAAGTACCGCTTCTTAGCTTCTAATAATATCCATTTATTGAAATTAATCGTAAACAGATACGCGTACAAAAAAATTATTACTATTAATCATCTGCACATACCATATTTAATACCTAAAACACTTAACAATATCTATAGGCACTTTTGTTATACCGCGGAGATTGTTTTTTTTTTAAGTGTATAAAAATAAATTATTGCTTTAAAATTTTAATAATAAATAACAGTTTTATCTTAATAAAATATCGAATTATAATCTATTCCTACACTTAATGAACGTCATAGCTGAGCTACATTTATTGTGTCTCAATAAGTTAGCGATTAAATATCAAAAAAAAAAAAAGAAATCATCATAATAAATCATAATACGTTTTCAAGTATACCCGAGTCGAAGAATTGCGAGAAAGAGAAACACAATAATTATGGCAACAAAAACATATAAAAAATTAGATTTAGTTTGATAAATTAAGTAGGTAGATTAATAAAAGATAATATTTCATAAATCATAATAATATTTATACAAAAATAGCATTAACAACGGGCGCGAGACGTGACTCTTCCTGTATTTTTTTTTTCGTGTACAATGCATTTTTTAGGTAGAGTTCCAACGACCCTGCCGATGAACAACAATACTAATACAAATTAAAAGAACTATTGGTCGAAATTGTATAAGCTAAGTTTAAAAAAAAAGGTAATAAGTAATAAAAAAAAAAAAAACTATAATTATCATTTATCAGACAGGGTAGGCCGCCGGTATTGTTTCTTCAGTTGAACGACCTGACAATGTCTTGCACGCTGATGTACGTGCCCAACACCAACGCCAGAACACCGATGATGATCAACAAGATGTCTTTCCATAGCACGTACCTAAAGGGTCCGAAGTCGTCTTCGGGCCATAGCACGCAAATCTCAATAAGTGCCGGGAAAGCGATGCCCAACACGGACAGGCAAAGGGCGCCAAACAGCGAAATGAACAGTTCCAACCGAGGAATGGAAACCGCCAACACGACTGTAAAAATAACAATCCAGAAGTAAGCACGGCGACTAGTTTACCAATGCCAAGAGATTATCGAGTAATAGTTATGGCATAGGACGACTGCAATGGGAATGTGAGAAAATTAAAATTGATATCTCGATTTTGGGATTTTAATTTTATGAAATTCATATGAAATAAAATATACCAAAAATATTTTATATGAAAATCCGGATAATCCTTTTTATAATTTGATAAATACAGATTTCCTATCACCGGTAACAATGTAGGACGTTTCCCCCCCTCTTTGGTCATAGATTGTTTAAATCTTATTATTTTGTCATTTGAAAAATTAAAAGTAACCATTAAGAGGACGTAGAACCATTTTTCGCGAATAAATTACCGCAGTCCTCTTAGTGAACGTTATATCAAAGCTCAAAAGGTTTTTTAAAGTAAAATAATTATAATAAATTATGTGTTATCTGTGATAAAATGTTGACGGAAAAATAATGTATTTTTATACTTGAATGGTGGGTTTTATATCTATTATTCTGTGAAACTGTTTTTACCGCCTTGTAAGTATGAAGTTGACAATGAAATAGTTTTTTTAGTTTTACAGGCAAATAAATTTCTATAAGTAATTAATGTAAAAAATGTCTGATGATATGTATGGAGGGCGAATCCTCGTGGGTTATTTGTTAGTCCACAGTTTCGGTGAGGGCTATAGTTGCCTCCACCAGTTGCGCCTATGAATTGACTTACAAGTGACGAGAACGACAGACACCCGGAGACCGTATTCCATCGTGGCTTTGTCCCAGTTTTGAATTCTCTTTTTCATATAAGTGTTCCATATTATGTCCACCGCTACGTATGCTTGAAGGGCGTATGTAATAAATATTGCCACTGCGAAAATCAGTTTGACGGCTTGCGCGAGTCTGTCGAGCAATAGCGTTTTTCACATTATAATAATTATTATCATTATTTACATTCTGAATTCGACGGTTAAAACTGAAAAATATTTTCTTACAAGTCCAGTTCCGGTAAATTAAGAGTTATGCTGCCCTTGGCTTCCTGTCCGTACTTGACGTACCCGAAAAAGCCCACAGCGACATACATGAGGGTTATGGCCGTCATGCCTACGTTCAACACGCCGGTGGTACCTCCGAAAGACGCGGGTGTTTTCATGTTGTTTTCCAAAGCCAACACCTATAAAAATAACAAACCGTAAGTTTTAATACACTAGCAACTTGTTCGTTTAATATGATTTATTTTCAAAAATAATTGCATGTAAACATAACCATACTACAGTAAACAACAAATATTAAAATATATGCACCCGTTGAAATTTCGTTTATTTCCAAACAAAAATTATTATAATAAAGAAAATTTGAAAGATCTTTACCATTAAAAAAGTAATTTTAATTATACCTTTAAGAACAATACGACTGCTTTACATGCTTTATGAACAAAATAAATAAATAATCATTTACCGTTAAACGTGTTGACACGTTGCTTTATGTATTATTTAAGAGTTTTATTCTATAAATGTGTTACAGTGAAATGACATTATAACTTATAGGTTAAATAGTTTTCACGAACATCATCAAATGAAATTGCCATCAACAAACCCGTTATGTTTTAGAATATAATTTTAAAATTATTTCAACGTTTGGACTTTTTAAAATGATTTTATATTATACTGTCTATTTACAAAAAAAAAAAAATCGTCAAAATCAGTCAAACTGTAATTGAACGCTAACATTAGACAGTCTGCGGTATAATAATGTAGCTATTCGGCCATTCTTGAAATAAGTTTTTTTTTATAATAATAATCATGGAAGAAGTGGTTATAATAATATTTAGGGTTAGCCAGCGTCGCTGTGGTTGTTGGATGAAAGTCGTTAATTTCCAAGTGTGCGTTTAGCTAGGTTTAGACCTACGACGATACACTCACCACGCCAACTGCTTCCAACGCGAACAAAGTAGTGCCCACGAACAAGGTGTACTTGCGAGGCTCACCGACCAAAGGTCGGGAAGAAATTGGCGGCAAGTCCGTGAAAACATACCAAAGAACGATTCCAAGACCGACGAACGTGATGATGTTGGCTAGCTGCGAGAAAGGCGCCAACAGTTTCAGATTTCTGATCAGATTTATTGCTATTAACGGCAGCAACAACATTATCATATAGTACCGCTCGTCCATCGGTTCAATGTACATGTCCAAAACCTGAAGAAAAAAAAGTACAATATTCCAAAATACAATATTAATCACAAAAAGCCCGCTGCGGTGCTTGTCATTGCCTCGGATCTCTTGGATCCTTCGGTATGATGTTTCTCATTTCAATTATTATTGGCTAAAGTTAAAAAAAAACTTTTATAATCACTGTGGTCTGCAGCAGGCCGATAATTGTGTCGCCTAGTTATCTAGAGCACTAACCTGTTTGATGCTGGACCCTATAAACATGATGTACACACAGCATATGCCCAGCTGATAGGTTATTAGGAATCCGTCGACGATTAGCCTGAAATCATCGAGACGCCGGTCAAGTTCGGAGAAACAGATAAAGGTTATGATCATGACTTAAACATATACAAGGCTATTGCATATCTCTACTTTATTATTTCAACAATTCATAAAATTGCAGTGTAAGGGTATATCATTGTTTTTTTTTTGATAAATATATACATTTGTACGCATACAATTTTAATAATGTACATACTACTCTATTCAAACTTTTTATTTTAGAATATTTTTTGTTATCAAATATATTATTATTTTATATCTAATGGTTTAAAGAACATTGGTGCAACTAGAGGGGGGGGCTAAGGAAGTTCAGACTTTTAAAAATCTCTGAAAGCTCCTTTAGAATGCCAGTAAAAATTATAAACCTTACTTGGGGGCTGTGCCTGATCGGTTGCTGGCATTTTTTTAGAGCCTGAACAAGTTTCCAAAGATTTGACCTTCCCCAGCCCACCCTTTAGTTATGCCAATGGATAAAAATTATGTTTATAGTCGGTATACATAATTTTAGCACCCCCTAAAATGTAGATCTGTGAGAGGGCACAAGCGTACCTCTCACCCTATGGGGAGGGGGGGGGGTTAGAAATGCAATAAGCTGGTATGTTTAAATCACGATTATGATTGTAAAATATAATATAACGTGACTCCAACGGTAAAATACAATAATTGACAAGGTCGTAACAATGATGCGATAAAAAAATGCACGTATAGGAAGCGTTGGTTACCGCATCTATTAAAAAACGGTCGTACAATGTATTAATGTTGATTGTATTATTATCTCATCATTGGCGTGGTTAATATATTTAGAGCGTGTCTCGAGAACATTATTATCCGGGGTCCGGGGACAGTAATAGATGGGTCGTTATACTATATTTTTTCTGTGTACAAGTTGAAATAAATATCACCGACGCCGAGAGTGGGACTCCAAATCTCAAAAATGACGGGCCGTTCTGCAGCGCGTACTTCATCGAATCCGGATAACTCAGTATTGGCTCTCGCAGTCTCTTGCATAGTATGTATTGAGATCTAATCTGTTTTGGAACGACCCCAACAACAATCAAACATAATATTAATAATGATTCGTTAAATGTACGCAGACAAATGGAATAATAGACCCCAAAAACACATTATTCGGTCGAGGTAAAAACAATTTCGGTATAACCGTCCGTTGCAAAACTAATAATAAATCTAAAAAAGTTTAAGTATGTATGTATTACCACCCGAGATGAAATCCAAGATATATAAATACAATACAACGAATGTAGTACTATTACTGTGTTTAATATTGCAATTCGATATTTTAATAAAATAATAAAGATAGTGATATCTTATTGGAAAACGAGTATCGAGTAACACGAACGGCTCTCCGAAGAAAGCGGAGTCGTCCTTGTTACCAAGCAAATCTAAGTAACCTCATTAAAGATAAAATCAAAACAAGAGTGTAAGGTTCACAGTGCTGGGGAATGTTTGAAATTTTTTAAATCCTTAGAAAGGCACCATTATGCTGAGTTTAACGATTAAAAACAAAACAGTTTTGTATGGTTAATCGATTTTTATAAATTAATTATAACAAAACGAATTATTAAAAGCGTATTCCGGATACTTACTAAAACGTGTAAGCAATAAGTGCACAGAATCCCAATAAGTATGGTGCCTACAGTTCCAACGAGCAGACCGGAATTGTAAAAGGCATTTGGCATAGCCAATATTCCGGTACCGAGACTGCCCTTGAGTAAATGGATGAGGGTTTCTGAATTACTGTAAAAAATTACAAACAAAAAATGAGGTTATACAAAATATGTGTTTTTAAATAAACATAATAAATAACGATTATATTAAATATCGAATAAAAATGTACACTAAAACTTGTCATCGACAATATACTTTAGGTAATTATCATTTTGAAATAAAAATAAAATTCTTTTTAAAATTAATCAAAAACTCATTTGTTTATTTTAACATATAAAAATATGTAATATATTGTGTAATTTTTTTTTATTGAGTTCCTCATAAGGCGCGTGTCATGCACATGTTGTGCGTCCATAGACTTTAACTGGGTTTTTAGTCTTAATTGGAAAATTTATATTGCCCGACGCCATTAACATAGTTGACAACCCTCATATGTTGTAACGCAGATAAATTGGGCTCGTATAATAAAACGGTATGGTAATCAATTCGGTTGTAACTGTCAATGAAAGTTCATGGGAACAGCTTTTTAAATGGGTCGTACCATAGAAACACGAATCTCAAAATGAAAAGCCTACAATTATAAATAATTTACATACCTTCTCAACAATCTACAAACAAATTTACAAATCTTTTCTCTAAAAAACAAATAAATATAATACCACATTCAAGTTTTAATAATTTTTCAAAAACTAACTTTGTAGGATGTTCGAGTATACGATGAGCGTGTGGGTCGTATGGTGGGACTCCGTTGGACGTCTGGTGAGTATCATCATCAGACGTTACGGTAACTTTGTACGTTTTCAATTTGTGTTCTTTAAGTTCCCTGAAAAAAAAATATATAATTATAAACATGGATTTATAAGAACAACAATTTGTAAGTTTCATAATAATTACTACAGCAAGTAAAAACATTTTGCATTAAATAACACTAGAAAAAATTTAATTAGACAACCGTTTGGTATACTTTTTGCCAATTTTTTTAAATATTATTTTTCTATATAATCACAAAATTATACGTTAAATTCATAAAAAATCTTAGGCTATAATATAACAACTAATGTGTGTTACAGTTAATCTAATAATATAGGCTGTTTGAGTATGGTCAGAACAAGACTTGTTCGAATTTATGGAGTGCCACCAACCAAAAACATCGACACGTAGGTTGTGTACAACCTTTTATGATGGAAGATAAACAGAGTACCTAATTATTTTCTAACATTATGCAAATTTGTACAACATTATGAGTGATCGATATATTCGAACGCAAGTGAAGTAATCGGCATTGAATATATTTTATTATGCAAGGTTATGTTTCCATTATATCTTAATACCTAAAGAATCATGATGGACAACAATGCGATATAGATATACCAAACACATATTTTGCATACTTAAAAATGTAATTATATGTCTGGGAAGTAGTTGTAAATTCATATAATCAACGTAAGCAGTTTAATTTTAAGTGTACTGTTTATCTTAAAATTTTATTGTAATTGTTTTTCATGTAGGTATTTACAATTTTATAGTCTTTAACACTGAACACCCGTCGATGTTCTTCTAATGAGACGTGTTCGGTGTAAAATTGTTTTTGTAGTCAGGAAATAAAACTCTACTAGAAGATATTATATAAATGTTTAACACAGTAATTTTATTAAACTACATTTTGAACTTTATCTTTCTACAAATGCACGCAAACAACTAACTAATGAGCATAATATTATTATAAAAACAAAACAAAATCATTAAGTTGTTTACAATTTATATCCGGTGCAAAGTTTAAAGTTATCGTTTATGTTTTTAAAGCGTATGATTTGTAATTTATAATTTGACCTAATAACAAAAACACAACGAAATCACTTATCGAGATGGCGAGTTAAACCTAAAAAATATTATTTTAATATTTTAAAACTTACAGTTTGCAGTTGACACCCACTTACCCACGCACCCAAGTTTTTTGGGCGGTGTCCTAGTTTTTTTTTAACCGATTCCGAAACTATAATATAGCCTACTAACTTAAGTATTGTTTAACTCGCTTACCAACTTGTTATAGTAGAGAACATATTTTTTTGTAAATGCATTAAACCCGACGCACGTTTGTCGAAGAGGCGTTACTCGTAATATTGTAATAGTTCAGAACCGCAAAATAATAATATGTTGTTCTTACAATCTAGTAAGTAGTTTACTAATGAGACTAATGACGGCGGTGGCTTTTCTGGCGTTGCCTGAATTAGGGTAAATATTGTTAACGCAGTTTTTGACAGATGCATCAGGCATTTAACCGACCGATTCAACTCATAAGGACGTCTCGGATTTAGATGAACAATGCAGATCTCTACAATATTCGGCCAACCTACCGGCCGGTTGAATAGCGTCTGTTACAAAAGAAAATATTGTTTACTGTTTTACGGTTAACGAAGACGTATTGTCCTGTTTAATTTTGCAAAACAGCGTTTTGTCTATAGGTTCTACGTAGGTATTAAAAAATGCATTAGCAAGTATAATAAAACCGCTGTTTATTTAGCGAACACATTAAACACTTCCTGTTGGCTTCTCAGAGACGTCAAGTGTCAACGAAACTCGACTGATCGAACAACCGCCTTTATATTACCGACTGGGACAATAAATTTAACGGTTAGAGTATAATATTAATTGTATTTCTATATTCTTACACGATTCGAGGTATTCGACTTTTCTACACAACACTATATATTTAGTGCAATAGACATTTTTCGGAGTTACCTTTGCTCAGCCTCCGGCCAATGTAGTATTTATAGATACATACAAGGTGTCGAAAGCAGATTCCGGGTGCTCAAGACTAAAATGCACGACGACTGCCGATTAAACAGAGAGTACTCACTTGTCGGGGGGTCCGATTCCCGTTAGGGCCAATGTCTCCGACATAGTAGCGTCAACCTCGTCCTGTCACAGACGGTCGTCTTCGATGTGTGCAACTTAAACCCCGCCGGAAGGTGTGCGATTTTCTCGGTTCTCCACGTGGGTCCTACACTTACAGACGGTCGGTCATTCACGCGGTGTGATAACACGACCAAGCCGACGGTGATGGGTTCACAAGCCGCGACCGACTATGGTTAGATGGTACTCAAATGCGAGGATGCACCGGACTACTGTGTGCAAAGCCGACGAACGGTTATATCGAAACCTCCAGCGTTGCACGCATGCGCCCTTCCACTACTAGTCTGATCAATACACATTTACAATACTTATACACCGTACGCCGTGTGATATAACCGACGACCCGCCGGCAGAGGAATCGAGGGGTGCGGAATTAAAAAAAAGAACATTCATTCACAGAGTTTAAGTAAAAACACTATGTTCACCCTTTGCCGCCGACACGTGGTTTACTATGTGGCTCATATTATGTTTAAAACGTTGTAAGCCAACGATCTTGTTGCAACATACAGAATTCAGACTTCGTGATACAATACAATATCAAATATGTATAATTTGTATGTATGCATTACACGCTAGTCACTATACTAAGTGTATACGTATACCTACATGTTCATATTATACTGTACTACAATCATTGTAGTGTTTACATTTAGTTATTACTACGTGTATCACAAAAATTATCACAAGTCCTCACTATAATTATTTCAGTAGTGTAGTTAACCCTTATAACTAATAAACTAAAAAATGTGCCCAAGGTTGTTCTCTGTAGTCTATAGAAACTAGAACTATTTTTACGTACTAGGTATTGTTTATTTCTAAAAAGTAAATATCTAATTAAATTATCAACCGGAATTGGTAAATATTTACAATGTGTACATAGTTAAATACATATTGTAATAAATTAATTAAAATTTGTTTAAAACGTTATGAATAAAAAAAAACAATGTTTTTAATATATTTAAAACATAAGTTTTAATTATATTAAAAAATGGTTTCAAACATAAAAAACAGTTTTAAACAAAATAAAAACCATTTAATTTGTATTGACATGGATATGTCTTATCACTGGGGGTCATTCTAATTAAAAAAATACTGTTTATTTTGCAATTCTGTCAATAACTTTGTTGGTGATAATTATTTTAACGACAAAACCGACCGTGTTTAAACTTAATTCTTAATAGAACCGAAAATATGTAGTCGCAACGATGCAATGATTTTCAGTAGACTAGATTAACATTATAGTAATTAATGTAATCGGCGATTGACAATGACGTGCAATTTTATTGCGTCCAACCTTGTTCTAACGATAGATATTAAGAAAAATAGACAGGACTGCGTATTGAAAAATACATCTATTTTTTATTTATAATTAGTTAGTTCGTACATTATTCGTGGAAAAGTCTAATTATGGAATAAATTAGCAAACAACAAAGTGTTTAAGAACTCCAACTAGCGCTCATTCGATTGAAAATTAATAAACACAACACATTGCACGCGTTGTTCATTATGGTCCATCACAATATGATAATGGTTTGTGGAACTGAAACGAGTGGCCTAGATTGAGATTTTCGTTTACTGTGGTAAGAGCATAGAATTTATCATATGTGTATTCCGGTTGACAAAAAAAAAGCATTGTTCCGTTTCAACCGAGTAGTTTATACTTGGGTACGGTACTTAATGAACAATGACAGTGCGATAAATATGAAAGTCAAAAACAAGAAACAAAATAAGGGACATATATATTTTTGCTTGAGGCTGCCAAGATCAGAAATGTCATGTGACGGTTGAAAACTTAATGATTAAAATAATTGAATTAATATTATTTGTATGTAAAAATAAAAAATGCTAATTAAAGAGATGAATAAAAAAAATGCTTGTATGAAGGTTCGAAAGATCTGGAGCAAATATGGGTTGGATGTCGTTAACGCTACTGGCGTCGTTCAATTCTCCTAATGAATAAAAAGCAAGTGGCCATTCTAAATTAGTGACGATCAAAGCTCGTTTAATGTGACGTATATACGCATCTTGTGTTGTTGAGTGCGGCCTGAATGAGGGCAAACGCCTTAACGAATCAATCGTTACCAAACGATACACAGATGCGACTTCTTAAAGTCATACTTAATATAGTGAATATTGTAATTCGTAATTAGTAGTTTGTTTTTTATGTAATACTCGTTTGATTAGTATAGTTTAATTAATTTGTATTAATATAAAGTAGTCTTAGGGGAAACAGAAAAAAAAAACACTTAAGATTTAAATGTTTTATTTTTAAATCTGTTATCTCTATTAATATTTTAAAACAGTGTTATGCTACAGACAAATATTTAACACAGTTTAAAAAAAAATCCAAACATTTTTTGTACACATTACTCAAGTTCAAATAGTACAGGTAGTAACTATAGTAATAAGTGCATAATTAAACAAACAAAAATGATTTCTTAAATCACTAATAACTTTATTCGTGTGTACCTACAAAAAGTTAATGTTTGAATCACGAAGGATTGAATAAAATGTTTAGTTATCAAGTTAACTTTTAGCTTAAATAAAATAAATCCATCTCTGGCGTGCTTATTTGTATAAAGTGAATTGGTAGAACAAGGTTGTACAGAAGTGTTATAATAAGTTATGGCTGTTGGCAACGTTTATTGGTTATGAGTTATTCGAAAAAAACACTAAAAAGTAAAAAACTGTGTGTACAACCGGGCGTGTAAAAGCTAACTACAATGAACTGTTTTTTAAAAAACAGTAAAACTTTAACTGTTAAATACATAACACAGAGTATTGAGTATAATACTCACATTTAATTTGCATAACATCGAATATTGTCTTATCTGAAACCAATAAATATTGTAAACACAATCTAAAGAATCCTTGTACGGTACTTGCTCGAACAAGTTTGACTACGTTGTTTCGGGAATTTAACAGAACAAAAAACAAACTGACAAAACGATTTTTTTTTTTTGATAGCTTGTAACAATTATTTTTGTTGTTTGTAGACAGAATTATTTAACGCAAAAAAAAAACCGTCTAGACCGCCGCCATACGGCCAGGCGAATGACAAATGTGAATCATGTTGACTGGAGCCTATTTGTTTTTCCTCTTAAACTAAAAAAAAAACCACGCAAACAAAATTTGTGCTTTTCGTTGTAGTATATTGGCACACAGAGACAGGGCAATAGGCACAAGCCAATATTTGATTGAAGAAGTAAATTTCAATAAATATAGTACCATCAAATTAAAATAACAATATAATCACTTTTACCTAAGAATCACTGTTGCCTATGTTGGGGGAAACAAAACGACAGACTCATTTATATTAAAACGATGATTGATTAAATATCGTAAATGTATTTTTATTTTATTGCGATTATTTTAGTATAAGTACGACAGCTTAAACTTAAACCGTTCAAACGTCCCAAACGTCTGTGTGGTCCACCTAGTACATTTTTTTAAAAATTAAAACATTCGCGCTCGATGTGGTACGAAAATAATCACTCAAGTTGTCAAAAACAGCCGCGGTAGCCCAAATTCATTACTCAAGACAAATCGTAAACACAGCAAAGTAGAACATAACATTGTGTTGTGACGCCAAAGTAGTTTCCCCCTCCCCCCCCCCCCAAATCGTAATTGTAGTATATTGTTACCAGCCTGTTGTACCTACGGTGGTTTACCTTTGTGCCGTAAGTGGCGAGGCTAACAAAAAACACATGTTACACGGAAACTCGGCTGCTCGATCATGTTTTTTGGCGCTTTTCCCGGCCGATGTCGTTTCTAAATTTAATCGCTCAACTATGTGCACTGTAAGCGAACGTCGAACTTTGAGTCGATGTAACTATGTCGGCAGCTATACATTGAAATCCAACCTTATCCCGACGGTCGAAGCTCAAGGCCGACAAAGCACCGAGTGATAGACACAAAACGAACCCGGTAAACGCCTTTAAAAATATTGTGTATTTAAAGATTTACAACTTGTGCAAACTAGGTGGCCGTACAATATTATGTTACCCAAATAATATTTCTATTTTGGCAAACACATATAACAAAAAAAAAAAAACGTATAACCATCATAATACAACGATGAGCCAAAGCCGCGTTAAACGGAGGGCAAAGCCCCCCTCCCCCCCTCGGACAATTGCCCTGGTCGGCCATTTTATGGGGACCAACATGGGAGTAAAAAAAAGAAATTTAAGTATATAAAAGTATTAATCATTTTTTAACTGCTACAAATTCTGGGAATGTAGGTCATTATAATCGATTGATTATAAAATTATACCAACTTAATTTTAAAATTAACCCAAATAAATATGTACTACTAATATTAAATAATTATTTATCTTACATAAATTACTGACGGATACCGAATTAAAGCATAATGGTCCAAAAAGTTTTGACGAACTAGACAAATTATATTTTAAGGTCATCTTTATCTAACAAAAAAATGACATCACTTTCAATTTTAAGTATTAAAGACGAATTAATCAAATATTCGTTAATTGGTCAGAAATTATAAACAACATTTCCGTTTTACAATTAAGGAAAAATAACATTTAAAATACAAATTATAACACCATGATTTATATAATTAATGTGTTTTGATCATATATTGTTACAATAGCAATAGCAATTAATGAACTCATAAGTGTCATTCATGTACTAAACCTATAAATATATTTGTTTTCCAAAACTTTGTTTAACCAAATTTATTTTGGGATTTCTGAACTTGGGTAAGTCCTAATAGTTATAACAATTATTTTTTATTAATAAGTTATTTTTAGTAGTGAAGCATGATAGTTAATGATTGCTTTATATTGAATGGTATTTAATCGAACCTCACTGCCCACATAAACATATTTATTGGAGTCCATTGTAGAAAACAAAAATTATGAATTTACATCACGTCTAAATGAAAAAAAAAACAATTTTTAGGGGCTGCAAATTCTTTTGCCCGGGGACCGCAATATAGTTTAATGAGTTGAGTAACAATAATAAACAACAGTCAGTTATGTAGTTCATAAGTAATTGTTTCGTTGATTTTGCTTAGCAAGCGTATGATTAGGTACACTAATATTGTAATATTTAATAATTTAACGTTAAACATATTATAAAGTGTTAACAATCAAATAGTCTTTTTCTGATATAAAGCTTCATTAAACTCAATTTCTTCAATATGTAGACCTATTACCCCTGCTCAAGATAAAATGTATAGATTTTAGGACAGGTATATTAG